GCCACATCCTCTGCTAGGTTAGTGAGCCTCCCAAAGTATGTGAGTAGTGACTCTGCCTTACCCCGCTTAAACTCCTGAAACTCTCGGATACGGTCGGCCGTGTGCCCTGGAAACTGCTTTCTCAGCCGCTCTAGGAACAGCGTCGTGGGATCATCTCCATCCTCCTCTGCCCGCCTCAGCCACTCCGGCATCTTCATTCGGTACAGCGTTTCAGCTTCGCCCCCCAACGTACTCGGTAGGCTTAAGAAAAACTCTATCGGGTCCATCCCGCTTCTATCGCAGCGGTACTTCACATTAGCGATCTGCATCAGGTAATTCTTCAGGTTGCTTCTAGATCCCGCTCCCCCCGTAAAGCGCACCGGCACCTCCACCTGAGGTGGGGCCTGCACACTCCACCTTCCCGTCTCCCAAGTCCCTGAGATCTCATTCCTCCTGCTACTCTCTCCTCTCCTTTCCCTCGACTCCCTGCTCCTTGACTCTGTCCCATACAGCACTCGATAGACACCTTCCCTGGCTGCTCTGGCTCCTCCCGAGCCCAACCATGACTGCTGCGGCCTTCCCTGCCAGCTCTGACTTGGGCTCTTTCCCCGCTCTCTCTCACGAGTCTCCCTATATCCCTCTGATTCCCGCCCCGGACTCTCTCTCTTTTCAGGGGAATATTCTTCCCATGGCTTCTCCCTTCGGCCAAATCCGTAGCGTGCAGGTCTGCCACACTCTCCTTCCTCGTTTTTCTTGTCATGCTCAGGCGTCAACTCTCGCCGTCTACGCTGCTCCTTTCTTCTCCCCGAGCTCGTCCCGTACAACACTCTCTCTAGCCCCTCCCGGGCTGCTCTAGCTTCCTTTGATTGCCATGGCCTCCTCGGCCCCAGTGGACTCCTTCCTCGCTCACCCTCATAAGCCTCCCTCCGCTTTTCTGATTCCTCCCATCGCCCTTCTTTCTTCTCAGGCAAGTTCTCCTGATATAGCCTCTCTCGCTCCCATGCATCAGGTCCCTTTCGACCCGCTGGTTTCCCTCGCTCATACTCCTCTTTCTCACTTCCTGTCTTCCCTTCAGGCGACCTCTCCCTCCTTCTGTATTGCTCGTCATTTCTCCTTCTTAGCTCCTCTTTTTCCGCCTTCCCCCTGATTTCCTCCTCAGGTACCTCCCATGGTAGTGCATTCCGCCTTCGCAGCTCCCGTCTATCCTCTTCCTCCTCCCACGGCTCTGGCGATCGTCGAGCTCCCATCTCCATACGCCTCCTCCTCTCAGTTTCCGGCTGTGGCTATGGCGGTCCATCTTCCCCACGCATGCGCCCTGTCGCGCGGTCATTCTCCTTGCTCTTGTGGCGCCTCGCGCCACTCCCGCGCACATCCCCTGGAGCGCGATCTGCCTCCGCGCTGCTCCCCTGGTGCCTTGCGCCATTCCCGAGCACCTCCCCTGGAGCGCGATGTGCCTCCGCGCTGCTCCCCTGGCGCCTTGCGCCATTCCGGAGCACCTCCCCTGGAGCGCGATCTGCCTCCGCGCTGCTCCCCTGGCGCCTTGCGCCATTCCCGAGCACCTCCCCTGGAGCGCGATCTGCCTCCGCGCTGCTCCCCTGGCGCCTTGCGCCATTCCCGAGCACCTCCCCTGGCGTGCGATCTGCCTCCGCGCTGCTCCCCTGGCGCCTTGCGCCATTCCCGAGCACCTCCCCTGGCGCGCAATCTGCCTCCGCGCTGCTCCCCTGGCGCCTTGCGCCCTTCCCGAGCACCTCCCCTGGCGCGCGATCTGCCTCTGTGCTGCTCTCACGTAATTCGTCCGCCGAGAGACCTATATCCGCGCTCCCGCGCTGTTTCGCGCAGCCTCCGCGCATCCCTACCAGCGAGCCATCTTTGCCTGCGTCTTTGCTCCATTCGCCGCGCTCTTCGTCTGTTGAGCGACTCGATCCCGTCGCCTTTCCGCACTCTTCGCGTTTCTCTCCGCGGTGCATCTCGCCTCCCTCGCGCATGTCGTCCGGCGAGCGATCTGCTCCCGCGTTCCTTGGATCATCTTCCGCCGTCTCCTCGCCGTCGGCCTCGTTTGCCGACATCAGCGAGTCCGTCTCGTCGGCATCGTCCTGACGCCTTACTCCCGCGCCCCGCTGGCCTCTTGCCAGATTCTAGGGATCGCTCCTCGGCGGCTGGGGTCGTGGCGCCGATCTCGTCTGCAGACCGAGCTCGCCTTCGCCGCGCCGTCCGTCGCTGGTTGCCATCCGATCCACCCGATCCGCCTCTCTCCTAGGCGAGCGACTTGGCGATCTTCCCCGCTCCTTTGAGCGCATCCTTCGCGGCGGTGGTAACTCCCGACGCGAGTACGTCTGCTGCCACTGCAGCTCATGGTAGTCCATTCTGCGCGATCTTCGTTCTCTAGTTTGTGAGGGATTCTGCCTCCCCCACGTATGGCTGCCCACAGTGGCTTAGTCGCCTAAGCTGGAGTTAGCTGTCAAACGGCAACCTATATCCACTATTACGAGCAAACAAACAAGAGAACGAACTAAACAGTGAGTTCCTAGCCTATTTGAGCAGCTACCCCGTGCCGTGCAGTTTCCCGTAAGGCACATTGGGCTCCGCCCGCCAGGCTTCAGGATTGGCCCTTCGGATTGCCCAGGGCTCGCCCTTGAATCTGTCCCACCCTGCACCTCGCAAGTCCCTGGGTCACTACTTCGCGTCACTACCCACGCACCAAACTCACCTTCTACAGTGCTTCGAATAATCCTACTACACCTACACTAGCGAGTAACTGAATATATTGCTAACAACAATCTATTCGGTGACATGATGTACCCCTTCAGAGGGCGCTAACTGCATACTCATCTCCTACAGCCAGTTATGGGGGCGTGTCGGAAAATTTAATTTAATATTTTCTATATGTAACTGCCTGTAGGATTGGTTACTGTAGTTATAGCGTTTTCCTATTTGGTGGTGCACCTTTCTTGCTTGTTCTCTCATATTTGTACCCTTGAACCTATAGTGAAACCCTCTCTTCTCTCTACTTTCCTCCTCCAACTCGAACTCAACTTCCTACCTCACTAGCTATGGCTCCTAAGCCTTGCTAGATTATTGACAGATACTACTCGCCCAGACCAGCCCGCTACTGACAGGACTATTTACCCACGGATATCAAACGGACCCATTCTTCACAGGAGGAAATTCGCAGCAGTTCGCAGCAGCCAAGGGAGTCTATTACGTAAAAGCCGGGACCGAGCGCATCTGGGTACCAGGGTACACACTGTTACGGGAATTACTACTACAGGAGGCACATGACGGGGTTACCTCGGGACATTTCGGGGTAGAGAAAACACGGCAGCAGTTGCAGCGGTATTATTACTGGCCCGAAATGTTGACTGACGTACAGCGTCACGTGGCATCGTGTCCCACTTGCCAGATCATGAAGTCAACACGGAAGCGGCCGGCGGGACAGTTGCAGCCAATCCCACCTCCAGAGCGTGCTTGGCAGCAGGTGACGATGGACTTCGTCACGGGGTTACCGGCCGGGGTGAGTGGAAATGACGCGATCCTGGTCGTCGTCGATCGACTGACGAAAATGGCACACTTTGCAGCCTGCAAAAAATCAATCACAGCCGAAGAAACAGCCCGCCTCTTCATCTCTACCATCGTTCGACTGCACGGGATACTAGCATCAATCATCAGCGACAGAGACACGAAATTCACCAGCAACTTCTGGCGAAACCTGTGGCAGCAGTTCGGCACACGACTACAATTTAGTTCATCGTACCATCCCGAAACAGACGGACAGACAGAACGGACAAATCAGACCATGGAACAGCTCATCCGGGCTACGTGCGACGACCCAAACACGTGGGAACAACAACTGCCACTCATCGAATTCGCATACAACAACGCCCCATCCGCCATGACCCAACAGTCATCGTTTTACCTGAATTACGGACAAGACCCAACAGTACCCATGACCCCGAATCCCGACAACCCGGTTCCACGCGCGCAACAGTTCGCCGAAATTTTGCAAGCAGCACGGACCAGGGCAGCAGACGCAATTAAACAAGCTAACATTATCGCTAAACGCAACGCCGACCGCCACCGCAGACCTGTCACTTACCAGCCCGACGACTTAGTTTTACTCGACACCCAAAATCTCCGACTGCCCATCACCCCGAAACTCCGCCCCCGATACTGCGGGCCATTTCGCATAAGCCACATGATAACACCCGTCACCGCTCACCTCCTCCTCCCTGCTGACTGGTACGTCAGCCCCTCGTTCCACGTCAGCCTGCTTCGCCCCTACGTCCCGTCCACAAGCCAACTCCCACGCAATCGCCCAGCCAGCATGACACGACCGCCGACTGAACCAATCATCACCCCCGAAAAAATCCTGAGCCACAGAGTTCGTGACCCTCGAGGAGCCCGAAGGATCGAGTTCTTACTCCGCTGGAAGGAACGTACACCCACCGAAGACAATTGGGTTCCCCTGGACAGAATCGAACACCACCCCGTCCTCACCGAGTATCTGCGCAGCCGGAATTTCAGGGATGTATACGCACTTTCGGAGGACCTCCTTAAGGAGGGGGGGGGGGGGGGGGGGGGGGGGGGGGTGGGGGTAGTGTAAGGAAAATCTCCTTTTCCTTACTTCGCGTCCCTGCTCAACGCATACACCATTGTAGCACCACAGTCAGCACCGTTACCACTCGCAATCCTCGCATCGACAATCCGCCCGCCACCTTCGCACGTCGCACCCCGACCTCACGGCTCGCCGGGTAACCCGCACTCCGGCCTCCGCTTCGACACTTTTCCCAACCTCAGTCCCAGGCCCGTCGCGCGACAACCACAGTCCATTACCGTTACCACTGTAGTTTCGCTATATATTCTTCGCTCATGCCTTCGCTCATTGTACTCTTGCTTCGATAGTGCAATTCTCGTTCGTTCACTCAATTGCACTCGTAATAAGACTAAACAGAACACAGCTCTAGTGTAAGACGTCGAAGCTCATTAGAATAAAAACCATTAGTTTGGTAACACGCTACACAAGTCTAGGCATTTCTGTGCCTTCTCCCCAGCCAGAATTTGAACGCCTTTATTTCCATGGGCTCGATGTGCTCGATCTCGCTCCTCCTTTCTCGAACGTCCGAGCCATTTCCACCCTTCCCCGAACCAGCACCACTTTCATTCCTTACCAGACTAATCCCATTCTTTGGAACTAAATTCAAAGGGAACTCCTCCACCCCCTCCACCAGCCTGTCTGAGAACAGCTGTTGCAGGGACACGTCGCCAGAAGCTTGAGGGGGGCGACAGGAACGGCGTAGCTGCGGAGGAGGAGCGAAGCTGCAGTCAAAGCCTTGCCGATGCAGCAGCAGTGCAATCGGAGGCTCGGCAGAGGCCTGCATGGCAGTGAGGAGGCATTTGAATGGTTTCAAAGTGAACTCAACAACTAGATTGAGGAATATGTATCGCTTGTACTGTAGACATGTACAGTACATAAAAGAGGAGAGGATGGTCGTAACAAGCAAGGCCTTGTGCACGCACAGAGGCATTGAGCAAAGCAGTAAAGCGACTAAGGGTACATTCCTACCTCGTGTCTGACATCAGGTCATAAGCCCTTAGTCTCTGATTTGCCTTTTCCGAATGTTGATTTGCCCCTATTCCAAGCCACTTCGGGTCTTCCGAGTCTCCACTTCGTGTCTGACCTGATGTCAGACACGAGCTAGGAATGTACCCTAAGCAGTAACACGATAGAAGGTCCAGTCTTTTAGGGCGTTGGGCACTCACAGAGGCGTTGGGCAGTGGGCGGTGGACTTTGAATGACACGATGTGCATGTCGCAGGGCAGAGGATGCAACAGGGGCGCATACCCCCACTCCCACCCCCCCACCTTCGCCCCGACCTGCACCGAACCTACTCGCGAACCCCCTCCTGTGTTTTTCCCCAAGCTCTTCCCCGAACCTGCCTTCCGGCCCCCTTGCTGCTCCCAGATCCCAGCACCCTCCACTCCATCTCGCTCCTGCCTGCCCCGAACACCACCTGTCTCTTCCCTGCCCGCACCACCCTGCGGCACCAGTTCGCGCAGAGCCGCAGAATTTTCGGGCTGCCCGATGAAAAGAACAGGCGGGTAGTTGAGCCGGGAGGAGACGCAGTGAGAGAGGAGGGAGGGCTTGAGCGGGGTGGAGGAGGAGGGGGAGGGGGGAGGGCGAGAGGAGGTGTTGGCTTCGAGGGAGAGGTGGAGGATAGAGAGCAGCGGGCGGTTGTCTGACACTCCCTGTGTGAGCCCCCTCCCATCATCCTGGTTCAGCCGTCGATCCAACACCATCTCCAGCCAACCACTCTGGGGGAGGAAGGAGGGGCGTGGGAGTGGGAAGAGGGGAGGTGTTGGTTTCAAGGGAGAGGTGGAGCAGGGAGAGCAGAGGCTGGTTGTCAGACACTCCCTGTGTGAGCCCCCTCCCCATCGTCCTGGTTCAGCCGCCGATCCAACACCATCTCCAGCCAGCCGCACTGGGGGGAGGGGAGGGGGAGGAGCAGGGAGAGAAGTAAAGGAAGGTGAAGGAGGGGGAGGAGGGCATAGTGAGGAGAGGCTGTTATGCAGATAGCGAGACCAAGATAGCGACACCAAGATAGCGACACCAAGATAGCGACACCAAGATAGCGACACCAAGATAGCGACACCAAGATAGCGACACCAAGATAGCGACACCAAGAAACGACTCACGTTGAGAAGGCGGGCAAGAGCGGTCTCACCTTGAGACTGGCAGCGCCCATGGCTTGGCGTGTGTGTGTGCAAGGAGAAGCCCAGCCCAGAGGGGTCTTGCAGCAAGGCGAGGGAGGGCATGGGGTAGACGTGGGCTTGGGAGGCATGGCAAAGGGGTGAGAGGGAGAGCCACGGGGTGAAAGCAGGCGAGGGAAGAGCTCACCTTGAGACTGGCGCATCCCATGGCCTGGCGTGTGTGAGCAGAAAAGCGCAGCCCAGAGGGGTCTTGCAGCAAGGCGAGGGCGGGCATGGGGTAGAAGTTGCCCTGCAGGGGGATGCGAGCGAGGGTCTCCCTGCGCACCATCTGAAAGCCATTCAGGTCCGTGTGAAAGACGTTGCCGGACCTGGGGTAGTGGTGGGGGAGGAGGGGGGGGTTGCAGACAATATGGGGGAGGGACAGCATGGCGGGTGAGAGTTGACTAGGTCTGAGGATTGATAACACGGGAGGACATGTGAGGGCGAGGGCAGGCATGAGGGCAGGCATGAGGGCAGGCCAGGCCACACCATATACCTGATTCCGGTTCGGTACCGGACCACGAGCTCCTTGTTCCCGAGCCACATGCGGCTGGTGAGGTCCACCCGGTGCTGCACCTCCACCAGCAGAGCCTGCACCGAATGCACCCTGTACAGCCTCACCACCCGCACCACTGGCTCTGGTGCCCCCCGCCGCTGCTGCTGCTGCTGGTAACTTTGAGACTGCTGCTGCTGCTGCTGCTGCTGCTGCTGCAATGAGGGGTGAGACTGTTGGTCGAAGCTGTCGGGTTGATCATCTTCCTCTGACTCTTCCGGCCCTTCAGCCTCACCAAGTCCCATGGCAGCACCAGCAGCAGCTGCAGCAGCTGCAGGAGAATCATCATCACCACCAGCAGCCCCATACCCTCCTCTCTGCCTGCGCCTCGCCTCAATCCACTCCCTCCTCTCCCTCGCCACACTCTCCCTCCACCTCTTCCCGGCCCCCATCCCCTCTCTTCCCGCCTCCCTCCCCCCACCCCTCTCCCCCTCCTCCCCGTGCCCCTCACCCCCAAACAACGCATCCAACGCCTCTTGACTGGCAGCATCAGCAGGCGAGAGCAGTGTGTAGTTAAAATCATCGTCTAACCACGGCGGCCGCCCTGCCCCTTGCGTCCCCCGCACCCTCTGCATCCATCTCAACCGCTGCTTCCTCCGCTCCTCTCGCCGCTGCTCCGCTGCTGCACGTGCCGAGGCAAGGTCTGGTGATGCGAGGTTCGGTGATGCAAGATCTGCCAGGAGTTTTGCTTCTTCACCGCTCTGTATTGCAGCCAACCGCTCGCCTTCTGACTCTTCTCGTTGCTGCGTGTGCTGAGTCTCCTCCTCTCCCTGCCCCTGCCCCTGCCCCTGCCCCTGCCCCTGCCCCTGCCCCTGCCCCTGCCCCTGCCCCTGCCCCTGCACCTGCCCCTGCCCCTGCCCCTGCCCCTGCCCCTGCACCTGCCCCCGCCCCTGCCCCTGCCCCTGCCCCTGCCCCTGCCCCTGGTCTTCCTCCCGCTGTGAGTGCTCCAGCAGCTTTCCAAACACACGCTGCTGCTCGCCAGTCAGAAACACCAGCCCTCCCGCTGTTTCCTTGCCCTCAAAGTGCCGCGGATGCAATATGTCTAGCTCCTCCTCGCTCACCCCCTCACTAACTCCCTCGCTAACTCCCTCACCCGCTCCCTCACTCGCTCCCCCACTCGCTCCCCCACTCGCTCCCTCATTCCCTCCTTCCCTCCCTCCCTCACTCACTTCCTCGCTCACTCTCTGAATCTCCTCCCCCCCTTGCTCCTCCCTCTGCGACTGCTCCAGCACCTTTCCAAACACTCGCTGCTGCTCGCCAGTCAGCCACACCATCCCTCCCTCCGCTTCTTTGCCCTCGAAATGGCGCGGATGCAAAACGTCTAGCTCGTCTTCACTCACTCCCTCACTCGCCATCTCACTCGCTCCCTCACTTGCTCCTTCGCTCGTTCCCTCGCTCTCTCCTTCACTTGCTCCCTCACTACCTCCCACAATCGCTCCCTCGCTCACCCCTTCACTCACTCCCTCACTTACTCCCTCACTCGCTCTTTGAATTTCCTCCTCCCCCTGTTCCTCCCTCTGTGATTGCTCCAGCACCTTACCGAACACTCGCTGCTGCTCGCCAGTCAGCCACACCAACCCTCCCGCCGCTTCCTTCCCCTCAAAATGGCGCGGATGCAACACGTCTAGCTCCTCCTCACTCACTCCCTCACTCACTTTCTCACTCGCTCCCTCTCTTGCTTCCTCACTAACTCCCTCGCCTGCTCCCTCGCTAACTCCCTCACCCGCTCCCTCACTCGCTCCCTCACTCGCTCCCCCGCTCGCTCCCCCACTCGCTCCCCCACCCGCTCCCTCCCTCCCTCCCTCACTCACTCCCTCACTCGCTCTCTGAATCTTCTCCTCCCCCTGCTCCTCCCTCTGTGATTGCTCCAGCAGCTTACCAAACACTCGCTGCTGCTCGCCAGTCAGCCACACCAACCCTCCCGCCGCTTCCTTCCCCTCAAAATGGCGCGGATGCAACACGTCTAGCTCCTCCCCACTCACTCCCTCGCTCGCTCCCTCACTCACTCCCCCGCTTGCTCCCTCAGCCACACTTACTCCTTTGCTCGCCCACTCTCCCTCTTCCAAGTGTCTTCCTTCATCCTGACCCTCACTCTCTCCCACAGCCCCTCTCTCACTCGTTCCCTGTCTATCCTCCTCATCCTCACTCCCAGAAACATCTCTTTCATCCTCGCTATTGTCAGCTTCACTATCATCAACTAGCAGCTTTCGGGCTGTAGCAGAAAAAGCTTCCTCTGCCACATTGGCAGTCGTGCCTGCCTCCCTTTCCCCTCCCCCCTCCCCAGTCCCCTCCCCCTCCCCTCCCCCCCCCGCCCAAGGGTCAACATCCTCAGCTTGCACCTCAGCCGTCCAATCATTCGGATGGGTGAATCTGAACCGTGTATGCACCTCCTCCACTAGCGGCCCTCTGCACACCAACGAGGTCGACCCTCCCTCCTCCCCCTTAACCATCCCATGCACACCACTCCCCCCTCGCTCCCCTTCAATCCGTCCATATCCCTTCCCCCTCCTCTCCCCCCTAACTCTCCCAGAACCCCTTCCCCCTCTCTCCTCCTCCCTGTCTCCCCCATACCCACTCCCGCTCCTCTCCCCGTGCCTGTGCTTTTCCTTCCCCGTGCTCCTGCTGCTACCCGCACCCTGCTGCTCCTTCACTATAGGAACGGCAGTGCCATGTGGCAGAAAGAGATAGGCTCCCCCTGAGCTGGCATAGAGGGCGAATTGCTCGCTGACTGGCAGAGGGGCGCGCATGTGGGGCAGCTGGGGGGGGAACGGAAGAGGGGGCGGGATGGAGCGGCAGAGGGAATGAGGTTTGACAGGATGCGGAACAAAGAGATAGGCTCCCCCTGAGCTGGCATAGAGCGCAAATTGCTCACTGACTGGCAAAGCGGCATCCATGTGGGGGCGCTGGGGGGAGGGACGGGAAGAGGGGGCGAGATGGAGTGGCAGAGGGGATGAGGTTTGAGTCGTGTTTTGAGTCGACTCAAAACACGACTCATTACACGCGGATGCGGAACAAAGAGATAGGCTCCCCGTGAGCTGGCATAGAGCGCAAATTGCTCGCTGACTGGCAGAGGGGCATCCATGTGGGGCAGCTGGAGGGGAGGGGCAATATGAGGAGGAGCGGGGGAGATGGGGGAGGGGCAATATGAGGAGGAGAGGGGGAGATGGGGGAGGGGCAATATGAAGAGGAGAGGAGGAGATGGAGAGGGGGATGGGAAAAGGTGACAGGACGGAAGGCAAAGAGATAGGCTCCCCCCTGAGCCGGCATAGATGTCGGAGAAACAGCTCTGCCTGCCATCTGCCTTCATTCTGATTCTCTTCCTCTCTGAAGCTTCTTGTGTTGCCTCAGCCACTCCCCAAGCTTCTTGTGTCTGAAAGAGACAAAGCTCCCACCCCAAGGGTCCTCCCTGAGTGGTGTGTCACCTAGCCGAAGGATGAAGGTGACAACGATCCACTATACGAAAGGATAACAAGAGAAAAGCAACGAGTGAGTGTGTGTTAGTGAATTTACCTGTCCCTGGCTCGAAGCGTGCATTTCTCAATGTGCGCCTCGAGCCTGGGTTGGTTTGTTCACACTGGTTCCTTGGATTTCACCCCTCGGAGCTCTCCTACCAACTTCGCGGCACTCTCCCTGGTCCCCAACTACCTACACCCCAAATGCTCATATTCGGTAATGCTACACCCCACACTACACCGCAACATAACTGGCACCTTATATGCACAACCGTGCCCCCTTGTCGTTTTCCAAGACCAGCACCCCAGAGGGGCGCACCTCCTTGACCTTCCAACGCACTGTCCCCAATCCCACATCCAGAGTATCTTGCTTCGCTCTCTTCAGATAAACTTCCTGCCCCTCCCATACGCCTCTTGCCACTTTCCCTTCGCCCTTGCGCTGCCTCTGTTCGTATCTCCTGGCATCTCGCAGCTGGGCGGTGTGCAGGTTCTCCAGCGCAGCTGGCATCATGAAGCGCATGTAGCGCGCTCTCACGTCAGACAGGGCTACCCAGTTCTTGATCGTGCCCGCTGTCACGGTGTCTGTCAGAACCCGTGGTGCCCCTACTGGCAGAATTGGCTCTCGTCCATAGAGTAGGCTGTACGGGGAATGATCCCTCAGTGCTGCCTGCTTCCCGAATCTGTACCCAGCTGCTATCCAGTCCAACTCATCATCCCAATCCCTCTTTCTCTGCTCCCCGTAGGTCCGCAGCCCTCGCTTGATGGTCTGTACTATGCGCTCAGTCAGCCCGTCGCTTTGCGGGTGGTAGCGGGAGGTACGTCGGTGCGTGATGCCAGATTCCAGCAGCAACTTCTTAAACTCTCCCTGGAACTCTGTGCCCTGATCTGTGAGTACCTCCCCGCACGCTCCGAATCGACACACTACCTGGGCCTTGAATGCCGCTGCAATGTGCCTCGCGCTCTTGCTAGGGATGGCTCTCACCTCCAGCCACTTGCTCACGTGCTCAATCATGAGCACTATATACTGGTTCCCACTCCTGCTCAGCGGCAGTTCTCCCGCTAGGTCCAGGGACCATCGAAACCCCAAACCACAGATTGGCAATGACTGCAGCTCTGCCTTGGCCTGAGTGAGGTTCGCCTTGCTCCTCTGACAAGCCTCGCACCCTTCTACCCATTCTTTCACTTGCCGGCGCATCCCTTCCCACCACCAGCCCGTTTTCAGCAGGTGTACGGTCCTCTCGTGTCCGAAATGCCCCAGCTTAATGTGCACTTCCCTGATCACTGCTTCACGTTCCTCTGGCGCTGGCACCAGCTTCCAGCCATCCTCTGTTTTTATCTGCAGCTGCTGTTGAAACCACCTGTAGTGATGCCCTCGTGCCCTCACCCTTTCAGACACTGTCTCATCTTCCTCGGTCTCTCCCTTCACCCATTCCATTGCCTTTGCATCCTGCCAAATGTCAGCTGGCCCCTTACTCCCCCTCGCACCGTTCTGCTCCACCTCCCTCGCCAGCAAAATCAAGGTATGCGCTGGCTCCTGCTCCGTCCGTTCAGTCTCCAGTGCCTCCTGTTCCGTCTCCAGTGGTGGTGGGTTGCGGGAGAGACCGTCGACGTGCTGTAGTGCAAACTCGAGCGGCACATTGTGAAATGTGCGACTTGAGCCTGGGCAAGGTAAGTTCAGTCACGAACACACAATCCATGCTTTTCGCTCAGCCTCTCCCTGCCCCCTCCTGTGCCCGTGCTCGAGCAGCTTGAGCTCGGGTCACAGGACCACCCTGCTGAGGCTTAGCTCCTCGGATCACAGCCGTGTTGGTCTGATGCTCCTTCAGCCGCATCCCCTTCTCATTCTCCAGCACCAGTACCCCGGATGGGCGCACTTCCTTCACCCTCCACTTTTCTGTCCCTACCCCCACATCCAGCGTGTCTTGCTTCGCCCGTTTCAGGTACACTTCTTGACCCTCGCTGACCCCCTTCTTTGCCTTTCCCGATCCCTGTTGCTGCCGCTGCTCGTAGCGTCTCGCATCTCTCAGCTGCGCGGTGTGGAGGTTCTCCAAGGCCGCTGGCATCATGACTCGCAGGTACCTTGCTCTGACTTCAGATAGTGCTACCCAGTTCTCTATGGTGCCCGCCGTCACTGTGTCTGTCAGGACCCGTGGAGCTCCCACCGGCAGTACTGGCTCGCATCCGAACAAGAGGCTGTACGGTGAGTGATCTCGCAGGGCTGCTTGCTTCCCAAACCGGTACCCTGCTGCAATCCAATGCAGCTCGTCATCCCAGTCCCTCTTCCTCTTCTCCCCATATGCGCGCAGTCCTCTCTTTATGGTCTGCACCAAGCGCTCAGTCAACCCGTCACTCTGAGGATGGTAGCGGGAGGTGCGGCGGTGGGTAATGCCCGCCTCCTCTAACATCTTCTTGAACTCCCCTTGGAACTCATTTCCCTGGTCCGTGAGGACCTCTCCGCACGCCCCAAATCTGCACAGCACTAGCTCTTTGAACGCTGCTGCTACGTGCCTTGAGTTCTTGCTTGGGATCGCCCTGACCTCTAACCATTTGCTCACGTGCTCCACCATGAGCACGATGTACTGTTTCCCTCCCCTACTCAGCGGCAGTTCTCCCGCCAAATCCAGGGACCACCTGAATCCCAAGCCGCGGATGGGCAGCGACTGCAGCTCGGCCTTGGCTTGCGTCAGGTTCGCCCTGCTTCTCTGGCATGCTTCGCAGCTCTCCACCCACTTCTTCACCTGCCCTCGCATTCCTTCCCACCACCATCCCGTCCTTAGCAACTGTACCGTCCTTTCATGCCCATAGTGGCCTAGCTTTGCGTGCACTTCTCGGATCACCGCCTCCCTCTCGCCTGGCGCTGGCACCAGCTTCCATCCATCCTCTGTCTGTATCTGCAGCTGCTGCTGGTACCACCTGTAGTGGTGCCCCCTTGCCCTTACCCTCTCCGTCATCTCCTCATCCTCTTCCGTTTCCCCCTTCACCCACCTCATGGCTGCTTCATCCTCCCAGATGTCTGCCGGCCCTCTGCTCCCCTTAGCCCCCTTTAGCTCGACCTGCTTTGCTAGCAGGATCAGTGTCGCCGTGGGCTCTGGTGGTGGCGGATTGCGGGAGAGGCCATCCACGTGCTGCAGAGTTTTTCCGGGCCTGTGCCGGATTTTGAAGTCATACTCCTGTAATTTCATGGCCCACCGTGTGTTCCTGCCCGTCAGCCCCGGTGTGGTCAACAGCCACGTTAGTGGCTGGTGGTCCGTCACCAATGTGAACTCATGGCCCTGCAGGTACACCCTGAAGTGGCCCACGGCCCATACTGCTGCTAGTCCTTCCCCTATGTAGGAGCTATACTGTGCCTCTGCCGAGTTACAGCTCCTGCTCGCATATGCTACCACTTTCTCCTCCCCCTCTTTTTCTTGGCAGAGTATGGCCCCCATTCCTTGGCTGCTCCAGTCGGTGTAGAGGGTAAACGGCTGGTTCGCTACCGGGAGCTGCAGCACCGTTGCCGTCTTAACCGCTGTCATCAAATCCTTCAAAGCCTCCTTCTGTGCTTCTCCCCATTCCCACGCCTTGTCCTCCCTCAGCATCCCATTCAGCACGGTGGCTCGCTTGCTGAAATTAGGCACGAACCGCCTGTAGTAGCTTAGGAAGCCCAGCACTGCCCGCAGCCCCGATTTATCCTTGGGCTCCCGTAGCTTGTCCAGGACCTCCACCTTGGCCTGTTGAATCCCAATCTGCCCCCCTGTCACCTCGTACCCCAGGTACAGTACGGTCTGCTCTCCCCATCTACACTTCTTCGGGTGGCAGGTGAGTCCTGCCCCCTCTATTGCACTCAGCGTCCTCTCCACATCCTGTAAGTGCTGCTGTTCCGTGGCGCTGAAGATTACTACGTCATCGATGTAGCATGCAGCACACTCCACATCACGCAACACTGAATCCATGACCCTCTGGAACACGGCTGATGCGTTCCTCAGACCGAAGGGCATGTACAACCACTCGTACAGCCCGTCTGGCCCATGGAACGCAGTTTTCTTGATGTCTTCCTCTCTGATCTTAATCTGATTGAACCCTTGTCGCAGGTCCAGCGTCGTGAAGAAGACCCCATCCGCCAGCTTATCAAAAATCTCTTCAGCCATTGGCATCGGGTACCTGTCCGGTACGGTGATTTTGTTGAGTGCTCTATAATCACCGCACATCCTCCTGCTCAGAATCTCCCCCGTCAAGTCCTTTCATGCGGCTACCACTGTCGGTGTGGCATACTCCGACTCTGACCGCCTAATCAGCCCTGCCTCCAGCAATTCCTTGATCTTCTCCTTACAAATCTCCTCATCCCCAGGTGGCATCTTCCTACTTCGGTGGAACACGGGCTCTGCGCTGCTCAATTTCAGCTCCATCTCCTTCACCTTGCACCGTCCCAACTCCTGCAGGGTGAAGGCGAAGCATTTCCTATGCTTGGCCAGCAGCTGTTGCATGGCCTCCTTCCCCTCCTCACTCATCTGGTCCCCCATTGTCCACCTTTCTTTCTCCCCCTCCCGGCAGCTCCATGCTCCTTGCGGGACAGGCGCAGTTTCATTCTCATCTTCCCGGTGCCCCCAGTTCAGAACCGTCTCTCTCCACATCCGCTGAACCAGCCACCTCAGCATGTTGCCGTCCATGGCATTCCCTAACGCCCTCCTCCTTTCTTCCTTGCTCACTCCGGTGGCTGCTGTGACATCCTCCCCATATCCCATGGCCAGCTCTCGCTCCAGCGCGGTTGGTTCCTCCCATTGCCGGCTCTTATGGTCATATATTAACCCCGGCACCGGCTTCCCTGCTTCCCACTTATAGCCGGCTGCCCCCTGATAGGCGACCAGGGTGGGCAGCGCCCGTCTGTCTTGTCCCACCTGATTACATGGGTAATGCCTGCTGTAGCTCTTCCTGCTCACTGGTGCTGGGGTCCGCCCGGGCTCCAGGATGTCCTGTACCTTTCTCTCCGAAGCTCTCCTCACCCCATCCGCCTCCTCTTGCAGGTCTTGCACTGGCACAACGTTTTGCCAATACATCCTGAGCCGGTGTGCATACGACCCCATCCTTGCTGCATCAGAGGTCACCCCTTTGCCCAACTGTCTCTTAATCTTCTCCCTCACTAGCCGAATTGGCTCGCGGCTGTCCCTTTCCAGGTCCAAGTTCTCCAGCAGGTATGCCACCCTGCCTTGCCTCTCCTGCAACCAGTCCATGATATGAAACAGGTCCTCCATCAGCTTCGTCCTGGGGTCCAGTTCTCCCTTCCCCTTTCCGGCCCATGACACCCCTTGACATTCCCACCCTGCCACCAGCAGGTCCACCTGCCCCCAGCTGGCTACCTCTGTCTCTGTCACCTTCCTCACATCATGAATGGTTCTGCCCATTGCTTCCCGGATCACCTCCCTGCTCAGTAGCTCTGGGAACTCTGCGTGTAACTTCAACGCGTGGTGTTCCGCCATCTTCCTCGCTGCTGGTGCCTGTTCCACATATATCCACTGTCTCACGGCGATTCCACTTCTCACCACAGCTGCCAATCCTGCCCCGATTCCCCCGAACAGCTCCACCAGTCGGATGGGCTGCCGCCAGTCAGTCTGGTGCCTCGGCTTATCCATGAGCTTCATCTTGGGCTCTTCCTCTGCTCCTTTAGGTCCCTTCTGTCCCCTTGCCTGCTGTTCCCCTGGCGTCTGCCCTGCAGTCGCCCGGTACGCTCTCTTCGGCTCCACCTTCACGAATTGTACGGGCAGCTGCCCCAAGGGCCCTTCCTTCTTCCAGTATCGCGTTCGGAACTCCACTCTCTCTGTCCACGTGCATATCGTCATCCCCACCGCAAACACCATCTCTGTGCCCATCAGGACATCGAAGTCCTCTGAGTCTGAGATTCCACACTTCATCCTGATTTTGGTCTCATGTTCTTCCCCCGGCAGCAATGTCAACTCTATGGGTGTCCGTGTGCACGGCATCCACTTCGGTTCCCCCCCTTCTGCCGTCATCACTAGCATTCCTTTCGCTACGTGCTTCTCTGGGGCCATCAATCCAAGCTTTTCTGCCATGCTCTTGCCCAGCATCACACTTTGTGCCCCGGTATCTATGATGGCAGTCCTCACCCTCTCTCCTTCTACCTTCATTGCACCCCCCTTTACCAGCAGCACGGAGGTCTGACAAGCCAGCCTCTCTTGTGGGTGGCGCGCTGGCAAATTCTCCTGCTCTTGCTCCTCTAGTTTCCGCCCCTTCTCCCGCTCCTTCCTCACATGGTCTTGTGTGCCGTCTCTCCCCCCGCTCCGCAGCCCCCTCTCTTCCCTGCCTCTCCAGGCCATGAGGGCACACTGCACATCCTGTTCCACCTCTTCTCCCTCTTCATCCCTGACGTACATTCCCGCCTCTGCTTCCCGTGTCGGTCTTAATGCTTGCAGCTGCGACTGCAGTTTGCTGATCTGCCGCTCCAGGTCTGCTGGGTTCCTCTTTGCTCCTCCCTCCCGCTGATAGCAATCTTTCGCCTCGTGCCCCCTCTTGCCACAAATCTCACAGCTTGGGGCGTCAGGACAGTCTCTCCTTCGGTGCCCTGGCTTCCCGCAGCAATCACAGTTCTTGCAGTCCCTGCGAAGATGCCCCACTTGCCCGCATCTGTGACAGGTCCGAGTATCAGTCCTGCCCTCCCCTCGACCCTCTGGTCTCCCTCGTTCCTCGGGAATCATCGCTGCTGCCCATGTTGGCCTGCGGCTGCGCTCTGACGGCTTGGGCAGGTATGCTTCGTACTTCCTTTGTGCGAGCTCCACTTTTTCCGCTAGCTCGAATACCTCTTCTAGGCTCGCATCTGCCCCCAACTCATACACCCTCATCCTTAAGCCACCCCCCAAGCTCTCGTCCAGCCCCCCCAAGAACTTGCAAATCAGGAGGCTAGTGTCCGTGCACGTCACTCACGTCCTCCGCCACGTTGATCAATCGGTTATAGTAGGTGAGCAATGACTCCATCCGCCCCCTCTTAAAGTCTTGAAACTCCCTTATCCGTTCTGCAGTGTGTCCCGGAAACTGTCGCTGCAGCCGGCGGAGGAACGCCTCCGTGGGGTCTTCACCGTGCCTTCCCGCCCTCCGCTGCAGCTCATCCATTCTCATCCGATACAATGTCTCCGCCTCTCCCTCCAGCGTGTTAGGTAAGCTCAGAAAGAAGTCTACCGGGTCCATGCCGCTCCTGTCACACCGATACCGCAATTTTCCCACTTGCATGAGGTAATTCTTGAGCGAGGGCCCCGTACGCTGATCTCCTGAGAACCTCGCCGGGACCTCCACACGTGGTACCGCAGCCGCACTCCCTCGACCTTCTCCCCAGGACTCGCTTGTTGCTCTGGCCTGCCTTCCGTGTGTCCCCCTTTTCCTTGCTCTCTCCACTCCTTCCCTCGCCTCTCTGGCTCGTTCCGCACTATATGCCAAACTCCCGCCCCCGACCTTGCTTCCCCGCTGGTCCCATCCCGCCTCCTTCTGCAGGTCCCTCGAGCTCGTGCGCCCTTCCGTGCGTTGACCTTGCCTATCCGGCGAGTGGTCTTCCCTCGCCCGTTCTTCCCGCCGCGTCCCGCGCCGATGCTTCCTTGGCGACGGTGACCGCTCGTCTCTCCTTCCTCCACGCTGCCGACGGGCGTACGGCGACTGCCATTCCTCATCACGTGCTCCTTCCCGCTGCCTGCGCAGATCTGGCAAGGGGGACCTGCCATCACGCCATCCTTCACGTCTCTGCTGCAGTTCGGGCGAGCGCTCCCCGCCGCCGCGCCACCCTTCGCGACGCGGATGCGGACCTGGCGAGCGCTCCCCGCCGTGCCACCCTTCGCATCGCGGATGCGGATTTGGCAAGCACTCCCCGCCACCGTGCCACCCTTCGCGTCGCAGATGCGGATCTGGCGAGCGCTCCCCGCCGCCGCGCCACCCTTCGCGTCGCGGATGCGGATCTGGCGAGCGCTCCCCGCCGCCGCGCCACCCTTCGCGTCGCGGATGCGGATCTGGCGAGCGCTCCCCGCCGCCGCACCACCCTTCGCGTCGCTGCTGCGGATCGGGCGAGCGCGATCCCTCGCCTCGCCTTGCTCCACGCTGCCAACGCTTTTCCGGCGTGCGCGACCGTTCATCTCGTCCTCCTCCGCGTCGTCCTCGCTGCCCGGACATGCGCGACTCCGTGTTCCGCTCTCCTCGGTCCTGCGATCGCCGATCGGGCGAGGGATCTTCCTCCTGACGGTTGCAGCGTACCTCTCGCTGCTCCTTTTGCACGCCCTCTGGCCCGTTGGCCTTCGCCTCGCTCTCGTCCGCCGTGCTGTCCGCCAGCGGGGAGTCAGCCTCGTCGGCTCCAGCAGTAGAGCCGTGATTCCCGCTGGCGTCCTCCTCTTGGCGCTGCTGGTTCTCGCTGCCCTCGTCAGCGCCTTCTCCGCGGCCTTCCTTCCGCATTTTCCCCACGGGGGAATTCTCCTCTTCGCTGTCCGTCTCGAGATCTCCTCGCCGACCACGATGCCCTCCTGGCGGGGCTTGCGCGCGGTCGCTCTCTCCGCGTCGGCGGTACCCTTCTTCCGGCGAGGGATGTGCCCTCGTGTCACGGCGATATCGACGATCGCCTCCAGATCCGTCGCGCGCATCCGTCCGCCACGGATCGCCTCTCGAGATGGCGGATCCCACCCCACCGGTTTCATCCCCGGCCGAACCTCCTCCACGTCCATCTGGCGCTTGGAGGACCCGATCAGCGCGGAAAGCCGGCCTCCGCGGCGATCGTTCCAGCGAGCGCTCGCACCGCGGCCGTTCCTCCTGCTCACGACGACTATACTGCCTGCCCCATCGCAGCTCGTGCTTGTCCATGCTCACGCGATGATGCTTTTCGCTTGTTATGAAGGAGTTCCCTCCCTCACCCCGTAGGTTCCCTCCTAGTGGCGTGCTGCTGGATGTAGGATCTAAAGCAACTGATTTCACTATGACGAGAGAATAACAAGCGAAAAGCATGGATTGTGTGTTCGTGACTGAACTTACCTTGCCCAGGCTCAAGTCGCACATTTCACAATGTGCGGCTCGAGTTTGGGCTGGTCCTCCCTGATTGGTTCAATGCATTTCGCCCCTCGGTGCTTCCCTCCCATTCCCAACGTCAAATTCGTCCTCCCCCTTACTACACCTCGAATCCCATTACAACATCTGCTACACCTCAATCTACACCTGCGCATCACTGTCATCGCATATGCACGAAGTGCATATTTGGTGACACACCCACTCCATAATCTTGAACAACTCCTCCATCAGTTTGGTCCTGGGGTCTAGTCTAGCTCACCCTTGCCCTTTCCCGCCCATGATACCCCTTGGCATTCCCACCCTGCCACCAGCAGGTCCACGTGCCCCCAGCTTGCCACTTCAGCTTCCGTGATTGCTTTTACATCGTTCACTCCTCTGCTCATCGCTGCCTTGATCACGTCTCCCCTCAGCAGCTCCGGAAACTCTCTATGCAGCTCCCACGCATGATGTTCCGCTATCTTCCTCACTTCCGCTGCCTGCTCCACGTAGATGCACTGTTTCACCGCTATTCCATTCCGCACCACTGCTGCTAGCCCCGCCCCTATTCCCCCGAACAGTTCCACCAGCCGGATGGGTTGCTGCCAATCGGTCTGTTGGCTAGGCTCATCCATGTGGCGCATCCTGGGCTCCCTGCCTTGTCCTTTGCCAGCCACTCGCTCTTGTGCCCCCTGCTTCACCGTCACCTCCTTCTGACCTGCACGGTAGGCCCTCTTTGGCTCTGTCTTCACAAACTGCACCGGCAGCTGCCCTAGCGGTTCACCCTTCCTCCACCACCTAGTTCGGAACTCCACTGTCTCTTTCCAAAAGCAGATGGTCATGCCCAATGCAAAAATCATCTCCGTGCCCACCAGCACATCAAAATCTTCCGACTCTGAAATCCCGCATCTAATTCTGACTGGCGTCTCATGTTTCTCCCCTTTCAGCACCATTAGTTCCATCGGAGTCCTCGTGCAGGGCATCCATTTTGACTCTCCACCCTCTGCCGTCATCACTAGCATCCCCTTCATCACATCACATGTCTGTCCGGTGCCCACAGTCCCAGCTTCTCGGCCATCCCCTTCCCTAGTATGACACTCTGTGCTCCGGTGTCTATGATAGCTGTCTTTGCCTTCTCCCCTTCCACCGTCAGCGCTCCATTCTGGATCAGCAGCATCGATGTTTGACATGTCAGCCGCTCCTGCGGGTGACGTGCAGCTGTGCATCTCTCTTCCTTCTCTTCCGGCTTCTGCCCCCTTTCCCGCTCTTTCCTCACCTGTTCCCTTCGCCCATCCTTGCCTCCGCTGCGCAGCCCCGTCTCTTCTCTCCCTCTCCATGCCATGTATGCAGGTTGCTCCTCATGTTCTACCTCATCCTCCTCCCTCACTCCCCACGCCATGAGTGCTCCTTGCTCTTCCTGTGCTACATCTTCTTCCTCCTCATCCCTGGCATACATCCCTGCCTCTGCTTCGCGTCGCGGACCTAGTGCCTGCAGCTGCGCTTGCAGCCGGCTGATCTGCTTCTCCTGTTCCTCCAGCTTCTTCTTTGCTGCTCCCTCTCGCTGGTAGCAGTCTTTTGCCGCATGTCCTCCTCTTCCACAGATTTCACACTTCGGTGCTTCAGGGCATTCCCGTCGCCGATGCCCTGGTTTCCCGCAACTGTAAAAGTTTTTGCAGTCCTTGCGAATGTGTCCCGGCTGTCCGCATCTGTGGCATGTCCGTGTCTCTGGCCTGTTCTCTCCTCGACCCACTGCCTTCTCCCTTTCTTCAGGTATGATCGCTGCTGCCCAAGTCGGCCCACGGCTTCGCTCCATGGTCCTGGGCCGATATGCCTCATATTTTCTTTGTGCTAGCTCCATCTTCTCTGCCAACTCGAATACCTCATCCAGCGTTGTGTCTGCCCCCAGCTCATACACCTTCATGCGCAGCCCGTTTCCCATGGTGTTGTCCAGCCCATCCAAGAACTTGCTCACCAAGAGGCCCATGTCCCCACACGTCACATCCTCCGCCAAGTTGATCAGCCGATTGTAATAGGTGAGCAACGACTCACTACTCCCTCTCCGGAACTCCTGAAATTCCCTTATCTTCTCTGCAGTATGCCCGGGAAACTGCCGCTGCAGCCGCTTCAGAAATACCTCTGTGGGGTCTTCCCCATACCTGCCCGCCCTCTCAAGCAATTCATCCATCCTCATTCTGTACAGTGTCTCTGCCTCCCCTTCCAATGTATTTGGCAGACTTAGGAAGAAATCCACCGCATCCATGCCGCTCTGCTCACATCTGTATCTCACATTCCCCACTTGCATCAAGTAGTTCTTCAGTGTAGGCCCCATGCGCTGGTCTCCTGAGAACCGCGCCGGCACTTCCACACGTGTGGCCATCGCTGCACTTCCACGCCCCTCGCCCCATGACTCACTTGCTCCCCTTTCCTGCCTTCCTGACGTCCCTCCTCCTCTAGCCCGCTCGATCCCCTTCCTTGCTTCTCTGGCGCGCTCCATGCTATATGCCAGACCGCTGCCTACACCTTTGCTTCTGTGCTGCTCCTGCTTTGCTTCCCATCACCTTTCCTCCTAACCCTTCCTCCCTCGCCGATCTGGTGAGTAACTCGCCCGCGCCCAATCTTCCCCTCGCCCTTGGTGCTGCCAGCGCTTCTCAGGTGTCGGGGATCGCGGAGCTCTCCTTCCCTCCTGCCCATAACGATTGTCTCGGTGACGCCACTCCTCCTCCCATCTCCCTCTCTGTCCTCGCTGCAGATCACGTTCTGGCGAGCGGTGCCCGCCTCCATATCTCTCTTCACGCTGCGGACGCTGATCCAGCGAGCGATGCTTGCTTCCCCTGCTCATACCCCGTTCTTGGTGCCGATCTGGCGAACTTGACTAGCCTCCCCACTTCCTCTCCTGATGTTTGCGCAGATCCGGCGAGCGTGGCCCACTTCCCGGCCTCCCGTCATGCTGGCGATACGAATCTGGCGAACGCGACTCGCCTCCACGCCTTCCCTCATGGCGCTGGCGCCGATCCGGCGAGCGTGACCCGCCTCCCCGCGCTCCGTGATGCTGCTGACGCGGATCCGGCAAGCGTGACTCGCCTCCCCGCCTCCCGTTGCGATTCCTCCACGGATCCGGCGAGCGTGACTCGCCTCCCCGCTTCCCGCTGCGATTCCTCCACGAATCCGGCGAGCGTGACTCGCCTCCCCGCCTCCCGCTGCGATTCCTGCACGGATCCGGCGAACGCGATCCGCCCTCCCGTCTCCCGCTGTGATACCTCCCCGGATCCGGCGAATGCGATCCACTTCCCCGTCTCCCGTCACGATGTTGACGTGGCTCAGGCGAACGCGACCCGCCTCCCCGCCTTTCGTCATGATGCGAGCGCAGATCTGGCGCGCGCGGACCGCTTCCCCGCTTTCCGTCATTCTGCTGGCGCAGATCTGGCGCGCGCGACGGGCCGTTGCCCTGCTCCCCGCCGTGCGCCTGCTGTCCAGAAACGTGCGCTTCCTTACGCGCGCTTCGTACGCCGCCAGTTCCGCCTGTCTCTTCCGCCTCGCCTGCCTTAGCAGGGTTTGCCTCCGTTGCTTCCGCGGGCATGTCGCGCTGCTCGCTTGCGCCCTCCTCCTGGGCTTCGCCGTCAACCTCAGCCACGTCTTCACGCTCGGATCCCTGCAACGTGTCCGTGCTCTCTTCCACTCCATCTCTGTCGGCGTTGAGGTCTCCCTCTCGGCCCGAAAACAACTCCTCCAAGCCTCGCCCGCGACTCCGATCTTCGCGACGGCGATAGCCTGCCTCCGGCGAGCGATACGCTCCCGTCTCCTGACGATACCCAAGATCGCCACCTTCTCCTGGCGCGGTTCCGTCCGCCACGGATCACTTCCCGCCAGGGCCGATCCCGATCCGCCCGCTCCTGCTCGTGCGGATCCGCCCTCTCGGCGCTTGGGCGCGAGAGGCACCTGGTCCGCGCGAAAGGCAGGCCTCCGCGGCGATCTCTCCAACGATCGCCCACGCTCACGCGAGTGTCCGCGCCACGCGCGATCCTCCTCGCGACGACCATACGTCCTGCCATAACGCAGCTCATACCCGTCCATCCTTGCACGCGCGCACCCTTTTCTCTTGTTATGAAAGAGACAAAGCTCCCACCCCAAGGGTCCTCCCTGAGTGGTGTGTCACCTAGCCGAAGGATGAAGGCAACAACGATCCACAAGAGAAAAGCAACGAGTGAGTGTGTGTTAGTGAATTTACCTGTCCCTGGCTCGAAGCGTGCATTTCTCAATGTGCGCCTCGAGCCTGGGTTGGTTCCTTGGATTTCACCCCTCGGAGCTCTCCTATCAACTTCGCGGCACTCTCCCTGGTCCCCAAGTACCTACACCCCAAATGCTCATATTCGGTAATGCTACACCCCACACTACACCGCAACATAACTGGCACCTTATATGCACAACCGTGCATATTCGGTGACATAGAGCGCGAACTGCTAGCTGACTGGCAGAGGGGCAGGAATGTGGGAGAGGTGGGGGGAATGGGGGCACGATGGAAAGGCTGAGAGGGCATGGAGAGGGGCGAGGTGAGGGAAGAGGACGGACGAAGGAAATAAGAGATAGGCTCCCCCCTGAGCCGGCATAGAGCGTGAACTGCTTGCTGACTGGCAGAGGGGCACGCATGTGGGAGAGGTGGGGCGAGGGGGGAAGTCGGGAGGAAGAGGCGGGATAGGGGGATGAGGTGGAGGAATGAGAAGAGGGGAGGGGGAACAGTTGAGTGAAGTGGACCTACCTCGTGGTTGAGTGAAGTGGACCTACCTCGTGGTTGAGTGAAGTGGACCTACCTCGTGGTTGAGTGAAGTGGACCTACCTCGTGGTTGAGTGAAGTGGACCTACCTCGTGGTTGAAAGAAAGAAAAAAGCAGCATGTGAAGCGAAACAGGCATGCGAGTTCACATGCATGCAAGCAAGCAGTGTCACATATATGCAAGCAAACACATGGTTGCATGGCAGCAGCAGCACCATCAGCAGCAGCAGCAGCAGCAGCAGCAGCAGCAGCAGCAGCAGCAGCAGCAGCTCACCTGTATCCCCTTTATTAGCCCGTCCATGCGACCCAAATGCACTCGGTAGTTGCCGTTCGATATGGAAAATGTGTCCTCATTGTCCCCAGCCCCAGTGCCAGCACCAGCACCAGCAGCAGCACCAACACCATCACCACCAGCAGCAGCAGCACCATGAGCAACAGCAGCACCCCCCTCCCTTCCTCGAGGGCCCTCCTCCCCTTCCCCCACCATGGCACACACATATGGCTCGGGACACACAAACCCCCGTGGGGGATTAAACACCTCAATGGTCGACAGAACAGGCGCAGGGCAGGCAGGCACAGCAGCGTGGGGCGCTATGAAATAGGTGGACAGGCCTAGGGGTGGCATGGAAGCTTCCCAGAAAAGACGGTGCCGGCCGGAGGACGGGGTTAGGCTCATGTTGCCTTTGGACCAGTCGGGCAGCAGCTGCCCGGGGAGACATTTTCCGTGCTGCCCGATGACTGCAACGGCTGGAGATTTGACGAGGATTGAAATGATCTGGGGTTGAGGGAAGAAGGGCGAGCAAGAAAGTGAGAGAAAGAGAGTGGGAGATTGAATGAGACAAAGTTAAGAGGAGGAATCAATGGAACGAGATGGGATAGCTTGAAGTGGAATGCACAATATTGATTGATGAGTGGAACTTTTGATTCAATGTGATTTAAATTGGGAAGAAGCCTCCTCTCACTCACCTCCCTCCTCCTCTCACTCACCTCCCTCCTCCTCTCACTCACCTCCCTCCTCTCCTCCTCCAAGGGATTGAACACCACCACTCTCCTTGCTCCCGCCCCTTCTTCCCCCTCCACACCGCTCCCCACCACTCTCCGCTCCCACGGACCGTCATGCACCGACCGCCACCGCTCTGCTTCGAGAGGTGGCGGCTGCTGGAAAACGGAGGAGTTGAGAGCGGTGGCAGTTGGTGCAGAAGGCTTGGGTACTTTGAGCAGAAGGGCAGCGACAGCAGCACACATGAAGTCCTGTGATAGGTGGGAAGGGGAGAGAAAGGAGAGAAGAGAGGAGTGAGGAGTGAGGATTGAGGTGAGTGACAGAGGAGCAACAAGGAGGGGAATGTGGAGTAGAAATAGAACCTGAGTTGACTCACACTGAGGTCTGTGAGCGCCTGGTGCATCCTCAGGCTGTAGTCCTTCACCACGTGGTGCTTCACACAACCCATTGACCTGCGCTGACTCACATTGACTTGCGTTGACCTGTGACATGCACTCACACTGAGGTCGGTCAGTGCCTGGTGCATGCGCAGGCTGTAGTCCTTCACCACGTGGTGCTTCGCCGTGCCTGTGATGCCGTCGTGGTGTTGAAACAGCGCCAGGTTGCGCCGTGCTAGCACCAGTCGCTCTGCGAAGCTGGAAGAAGGGTGAAACAAGGAGGGGTGGGAAGCGGTGGGGTGGGGTGGGGTAGGAATGTATGTTGAAGCAATTCACACGTCCCCTGTGATACCGTCGTGGTGCTGAAACAACGCCAGGTTGCGCCGTGCCAAGACCAATCGCTCTGCGAAGCTGAATGGGGGAGAGGGGGGAGAAGGAGAGGGGGCCAGGTAGGTGAGTGTGGGGAGCAAGGAACGATGGGATGGGACCAACCGCTTCTGCCAAAGACCCCTGCCTGTGCCCCTCTCACCTGCCCCACACTCACTTTAGCGGGAAAGGCAGCTCTGTGGACGCGTTGCTACCAGAATTGGCTGCTACGCATTCACCTCCACTCCACGCACCCAGTCCGCCCAGCAGAGCGCATAGAGCACGCCAGCCACCCTCACACTCGCCTCCAACGCTCTGTCCACGGCCCTCCAGAAGGGGCGCGAGGAGAGGAAGCCACCACACCACGGGGAAGCTACTCCACTCCAGTAGCAACCACGGAGAAAGCTCAGTCACCCACCTGCCTCAGAACCACCCACCCACCTGCCTCAGAACCACCCACCCATCTGCCCCCAACACTTACTTGAGTGGGAACGGCAGCAGGTGCTCTGGCTTGCCCTTGCCGCTGCTAAGCTTCCACCACTGCCGGAGCCCTCCTTTCCATGACCGCCTCCTCCCACCCAGTCAGCCCAGCAGAGCGCGTTCAGCATGTCAGCGGCCCTGAGGCTGCCCGCCAGCGCTCACTGTGTCACACATTCTCACCTTCCCCAGACTTACTTAAGTTTGATTTTGAGAATTCTCAAAATCAACCGCTCACTGTGTCACACATTCTCTCACCTTCCCCACACTTACTTGAGTGGGAAGGGCAGCTCTGCGGATGTGATGCGAGCAGCCCTGGCTGCTGAACGCTCGCCTCGTCCTGCCCAGTCGGCCCAGCAGAGAGCGTAGAGCATGTCAGCGGCCCTCATGTTCGCCTCCAATGCCCGGTCCACGGCCTTCCAGAAGGGGCGCGAGGAGAAATAGCCGCTCCAGTAGTCGTGATCGCGATCCGCGTACGTGAAGAAATCCCCCGACAGAGACGGGAGAAGAGGGCGCAGCTGACCGGTGGTGCTGAGAGAACCGGGTGCTGAAGTTCCCACTTTTAGGTAAGCGTCGGTGGAAGCGGCTAGTTTTAGGTAGGGGTCTCTGCTAGCTAAGAGCCGGCGGCGCTGAATCTCCTCCTGGTGCTGGTTTTCCTGGCTGTCTACTAGTGAGTGCTGATCTGATGAGTCTAGTAGGTTGAATGACGGCTCTTGAGTCGCTTCACTGGCGTTCAGCTTGTTCAGCTTCAAGTCTGGGTTCAGCAGCTGGGCACGGAGCCGGTTTGCTTTCTGGTGGTTTGCAGTCTCCACGGAGACCCTCTGGCGGGCGGAGGCGGCGCGCATGGCGGTGAAGTACTCGTCGAGCGTGCCGAAGCTGGCGTTGACTCGGAGCGACTTTCGTGAGTTGATGAAGGCGAAGAGCAGCTCGTAGTTTTGGAATTGAGCTTGGGCCTCGAGCATGGAGGAGTAACGGAAATCGTCCCCCAGAGGGACCAGGAGCACGTTGGTGCGGAAGAGAAGCGATTTCTTGCGCCACTGGGGATGGGGAGAGGGGCAGAGGGAAGAGAGGCAGGGGGAAGCGGGCAGGGGAGGAGCAGGACGGGGGAACAGTGGGAGCAGCAAAGGTCGGAGGGAGGAACGGGACTTTCTTGCGTTGATGAAGGCTAAGAGCAGCTCGTAGCTGTGGTAAAAAATAACCTATCTACAAGAGGGGGTTGGCTGACTGATTCACCATCCGCACATAATAACTCATCCCCAAGAAGACACCATCCCTGCCCACTCATCCCATCCCACCTGGTCCACGAGCAGCTGTGCGCGCTCAGCGATGTTCTTCCTGGTGATGAGCATGGCGTCCTGCCCCCACGGGCACCAGTCCCCTATGCGTGTGTAAAAGCGGAAATGGCACCATCCCACCCACTCATCCCCACCCCACCATCAATCTCACCTGATCCACCAGCAGCTGTGCGCGCTGAGCGATGTTGTTCCTGGTGATGGGGATGGAGAGGAGTCCTGTCCCCCCACTGGACCCGCCTAGCACCCATCCCCATCCCACCTGGTCCATCCCATTGCACAATCCAATCCCACCTGATCCACCAGCAGCTGTGCGCGCTGAGCGATGTTCTTCCTGGTGATGGGCATGGCGTCCTGCCCCCCCACCTTGCCCCACCTACCAACTTATCCCATCCCACCTGGTCCACGAGCAGCTGTGCGCGCTGAGCGATGTTCTTCCTGGTGATGGGCATGGCGTCCTGCCCCCACGGGCACCAGTGCTGCGTGCCTGTGCGCCGCAGAAAGTCAAACTGCCAGATGGGACACAGAGGTGAGGGAGAGGGAGAGAGAACGAGGAGAGGTTTGTTCCTGGTGATGGGAACTGCGAAGTGGGAGCACAAGTGAATGGAGCAAACTGCACTTGCTTATGATGTTGATGGGAACTCAGCAGTGGGATGAGAGAACAAGTGAATGGAGCAAACTGCACCTCAGAATGTGCCTTTCACAGGCTCTTCACAAGTCAAGAAGCCTTGTCAACTCAATAACCAGCCATGCTTGGAAACATACGAGTGTATATACGCTGCTGAATCAGTTCCACTAGCCTCACATGTGTGTTACAGGGACGCACCTGGCAGCACACACCTGGGTTGGGCCCACAGGTGTGTGGAATGTCATACGAGTAAAAAGGCATCATGTGGCATAGAATATCCGTGCTGCCCTCCTCCTCCAACCCCCCTGCTGCCGCTGCTGCCGCCGCCGCCGCCTCCTCTGCCGCCCCTGTTGCTGCTGCCGCTGATTGGTCATCACCCATCGTGCCTCCGGACTGCTCATCGTTCATCGCATCCCCTGACTGGCCCATGGCACCCCCTGTGTGGTCCCATGCCTGGCGCCAGAAGAATTCGAGGTGCTTCTGCCTCGCCAGGGCCTTCTTCACCTCGTAGTGCGTGCGCTGAATGAGCATGTTGGCGAACCCGGATCTGATGCAAACGGGGATAACAAGGGGCGGGACAAGTGGATTCAAGAGTGCCTTCTTCACCTCGTAGTTCGTGCGCTGAATCAGCATGTTGCCAAACCCGGACCTGATAGGACCGGACAGGACCGGGGATAACAAGGGGCAGCACAAATGGATTCAGTAGGTGTCTTCTCTTCACCTCGTAGTGCGTGCGCTGAATCAGCATGTTGCCAAACCCGGACCTGATAGGACCGGACAGGACCGGGGATAACAAGGGGCAGCACAAATGGATTCAGTAGGTGTCTTCTCTTCACCTCGTAGTGCGTGCGCTGAATCAGCATGTTGCCAAACCCGGACCTGATAGGACCGGACAGGACCGGGGATAACAAGGGGCAGCACAAATGGATTCAGTAGGTGTCTTCTCTTCACCTCGTAGTGCGTGCGCCGAATGAGCATGTTGCCGAACCCGGATCTGATGCAAACGGGGATAAGCAGGGAAAGCACAAATGTACGAGGGACAGCACAAATGTACGAGGGACAGCACAAATGTACGAGGGACAGCACAAATGTACGAGGGACAGCACAAATGTACGAGGGACAGCACAAATGTACGAGGGACAGCACAAATGTACGAGGGACAGCACAAGTGTACGAGGGACAGCACAAGTGTACGAGGGACAGCACAAGTTGGATAAAAAAAGCGCCGATTTGACTTCTTAGAACGAGGGTAGGGAGAGTCGGAGCAGCACAATGGAGGTTTGGAGCAGGACAAGGGAGGTTCGGATCGGAGGCCCACCTCTTTAAAAGGTATGGCATGGTGGCAGGATGGCCAAAAGGGTCAATGGCCCAGCTGTTGGTGGGCGTCATTACAGGAGTGTCATGCAAGCATGTCATACAGACCAACCCAGTTCCCAGCGCCACAAAAGGTGACTTTTGAGTCGACTCAAAAGTCAGCTGTTGGTGGGCGTCATTCCGGGAGTGTCACGCAAGCATGTTATACAGACCAGCCCAGTTCCCAGCGCCACAAAAGCCCCCCACCCACCTCTTTAGGAGGTATGGCATGGTGGCGGAATGGCCAAAGGGTCAATCGCCCAGCTGTTGGTGTGTGTGTGTCACTGCGAGTATGTCGTACATACGGACCAGCCCAGTTACCCACCACTACCAATGCCACTAAAGGGCCCCACCCCACCCACCTTTTCAGGAGGTATGGCATGGTGGCGGAATGGCCAAAGGGGTCGATGGCCCAGCTGTTGGTGGGCGTCACTCCAACTCCAATCTTGTCGTACACATAGACCAACCCAGATACCCAGCACCACCAGAGCCACAAAATGGCCCCACCCACCTTTTCAAAAGGTATGGCATGGTGGCGGAGTGGCCAAAAGGGTCAATCGCCCAGCTATTGGTGGGCGTCACTCCAACTCCGACCCCCACCCCACCCACCTTTTCAAAAGGTATGGCATGGTGGCAGAATGGCCAAAGGGGTCGATGGCCCAGCTGTTGGTGGGCGTCACTCCTAGCGTGTCATACAGCCATGTGTTGCCCTCTGTGAGCTGGGGCGGAGGAGGGGGAGAGCAGGTGTGGGGATGGGGGAAGAAAGAGAGGAGAGGATGAATTTCAGTATGGTTCTTATCCTGACAAGAGAAACTTAAGGCAAGGGGATGGCGATGGGGAAAGAGGTGAATGGGGTAGGTTCTGTTGCAGTCAAAGTCTGGAAGCTGAATGCTGTGCTTCCAGAGCTTACTCTGGCTCTAGGCTCACCTGTTTTAGGGCCGCGTAAAGAACTAGCTGGCCTTGACTATTAAACTGTTTAGTTATAGGTGAAGTTGAGCCTCATGGGTGAAGTTGAGCCTCATGGGTGAAGTTGAGCCTCAGTCTCAAGTTGCTCTCCCTCACCTGTTCGCTCTCACCTGTTCGCTCTCACCTGCTCTCCCTCAAACGCCCTCTTGACTGCAAGCTAGGCTCGCTCCACGCACCTGTTCAATTATGGCATAGTAGTGCGAGTTGGCCTGCAATGGAATGGAGTTGAAAGCACAGCGTGGGGGAGATGGTGGGGTTGATTCTGTTATTTTACGAAAGCAAGAAAATAAGCATGGAGACTGGATTGGTCTTGCTGAATAAAAGGGCATGCCTTACAGCATCGCTCTAAAAGGGCATGCCTTACAGCATCGCTCTAAAAGGGCATGCCTTACAGCATCGCTCTAAAAGGGCATGCCTTACAGCATCGCTCCCCAACCAAGACGGCGCCTCAAAAGATTCTAGGCGCTTCTAAAAAAAACGAGGCGCCTCAAAAGTTGGTCTCGCCGATTTAAAGGACATGCCTTTGACAACTTGTGCAGCTGCCCCATTACCTCCTTTCTCCTACTCACCTCATCATTCATGACCCACCCTTCCTTCCCCCCACACAATCTCCAGCTACATTGTCCGCACAACCAGAGCTCTCTCAAGCTCTCGTACACACGGCACGGCACAATAAACCTCTCCCTTTCACAGCGTCCCTCAAGCCACGTGTAACAAGTGAATTTTTGAGACGTCTCAAAAAAAGCGCTCGTACACACGGCACGGCACCATAAAGCTCTCCATTTCACAGCTTCGCTCAACAAGTAAGCAGCCAGCCTAACCCCTCCCCCTCTCCCACAGCTCACCTCGTCGTCGTTCATGACCCACCCACCCTCCCCGCACTATCTCCAGTTGCCCCGACTGCACCAGCGGCCTCAAGCTCTCGCTTTCTCCAGCTTCCATTCCATTCACAGCCCTCTTCCCTCCAACCAATCCCCAGCTCACCTCGTCGTTCATGACCCACCCTCCCCGCACTATCTCCAGTTGCCCCGACTGCACCAGCGCCCTCCTCATCCTTTAATAAATCGATTCACAAAGTTACCCTCTTCCCCCCATCATCCCACTCACCTCGTCGTTCATGACCCACCCGCCCCCCACAATCTCCAGCTGCCCTGACTGCACCAGCGCCCTCCTCATCCTTAAATAGATCACATAACCACCTCCTTCCCCTCCTGCACAGCTCACCTCGTCGTTCATAACCCACCCGCCCCCCACAATCTCCAGCTGCCCTGACTGCACCAGCGCCCTCTTAGATCACATAACCACCTCCTTCCCCTCCTGCACAGCTCACCTCGTCGTTCATGACCCACCCGCCCCCCACAATCTCCAGCTGCCCTGACTGCACCAGCGCCCTCCTCATCCTTAAATAGATCACATAACCACCTCCTTCCCCTCCTGCACAGCTCACCTCGTCGTTCATAACCCACCCGCCCCCCACAATCTCCAGCTGCCCTGACTGCACCAGCGCCCGCATTCCCTGCCTCTCCTCCTCTGTGGCGTCCATCCACCAGCGGCTCAGATACGACATCTCCTCCCATATGAAGCGGCGAGAGGGGGACTGGAAAAGAAAGGAGTTGGGTGGGGTTGGGTTGTAAGAATTAGGGCAGGTTTAGAGGTCCATAAGGTTACAGGGAGGGCTGTGAGTGAAGAACCAGTCCTCTCCCTCTCACCCTCCAGCGGCTCAAATACGACATCTCCTCCCAGATGAAGCGGCGAGCAGGGGACTGGTGGGGTGGGGAGTACGAAAGGAACGGGGCCAGAGCACAAAGTTCGAAGGACCAAAGTTCTGGAAGATAAACAACCAAAGCACCAAGGTCACAAGGTCACAGTGACAGAACAATATGAAGCATCTGAAAAAACTTTAATACAATACCTGAACAGGGGGGTAACCTGGGAGTGAGAGGAGTGACCTGAGAGAGAGAGAGAGAGAGAAGGCCTTAGCATCCAGCCCTCTCCCTCTTCCCTCTGCCCTCTCCCTCTGAGCCTATTTAAGGGGCCCTCTGTGCCTTCCCAGCCTCATTATTTCGTGGGTGTTTCATTTTCGGCGGCTCGCGCCGGCGGCCTTCGGCCGCGCGTTCCTGGTGGCAAGACACAAAACGGAGGTTCGGCTTATAAAGGGCACCCACACACACAAAGGCAAGGAGCTGGGCAAGAGCAAGAGGCGCGGCATGCAATTCTACACGCGGCGGAGGCCTACATCGTGTACGGCTCCGCCCCCTCCACCTCAAGCATCGAGCGCATGCACGCCGATACTGCAAGAAGGAGATGCGCCGATGACTGGAGCGTGTCCAAAGGGGTCCCGGCTTGAGCAGCCCCTACAAGATCCCCCACGTGGCGGGGGAATGTACGGGCTAAGGGAGCTACCCCGGCGGGCGCATCCGACACGGGTGCCAACGGTGACTCGAGTGATTCTGCCAAAGTCACGCAGGATCCTCGGGATCCTGGACCGAAACTGCTCGGAAAGTTCCGCGTGGCCCCACACACCGCCAGCTGCAAGTTCGCCACCACCTCGCACGCCTCCGCCAGATTCAGAATCCGGCACATGGTCAGCATGGGGTCTCTCCCCGCGCGAGTGGGGGGAGGTGCAGTCAGCGCTTCACGCGGAAACGCCGTCGGCCAGCCAGGAGTCCGGCCAACAGTTAAGCGCGGCGCGGAGAAGCCGGGGACCTGACGAGGGGTGTGGAACTGAGCCCTCCCCTCACGCGCGGGCAGATATTCGCGCAGAGTCGGCGCGCGCAGAGGAGCAACCTGGCCGGGGTCCGCGGCGAAGGGGGGACCGTTGGTCACCTCAATGTGGACGTGAGTCGGCGCCCCACTCGCCCGGGCCTGCCTCACCACCTCCACGAACGTGTTCGCGGCGCGATTGAGGGCAGGATCTGGCTGGCGGCCATTCCCGCCTCGCCCTCCGCCATTCCGCCGGCCCCGCCGACCCCCGGAACCAGCCTAATGTGGACGCGGGGGGGACTGCTCGCGGCGACCCGAATCCCAGCGACGCCCAGGCGACCCCCTCCCCCGCGTCGCCGGAGATCGCCGCGGAGAGCGTTGCGCGGGGGATCGCGCTCGGGGTGAGCGCTGGCCTGCCCGACCACGGGGGGATGGGCGGCGAGGGGAGCGAGTACGCGCAGGGGAGCGCTGATCCCCCTCCCCGCGCTGATAATGTTCGCGATGCTCAGGAGAAGGGCGGCGGGGAGAGGGCTGCCGAGGAGGCTGACGTGGAGGCGAGCGCCCGCGCTCCTGCCGCGGCTGACCGTCCGGGCGGTTCGACGCAACACGTGCAGGCGCCCACGAATACTCCGGCGAGGTGGGGCGCGCGGCTGGCCGATGGGGAAGAGTTAGCACCCGCTCGAAGCGGCGGACGGGCTCGCTCGCGGAGGGGTGCGCAAGAAGACGCGGACGAGGCCCAGCAGGCGCAGGCTCCGGCAGCGCGCTCTCCGCGGAACCCTCCAGCTCCGGATCCCTTCTCGCGGATGGGTCCATCACCCCCGATCGTACCGCAGCCGACGCCAGCGCGCCGACGAAGCGAAAACGAGGCGGTCGCGGCGCCGCAGACAGGGCGCGAGGGAGCTGCAGTTGGAAGAGCAACGCGTGGAATCCGCGTGGGACGCGGCAGTCGCCGCGGACGTCGAGGAAACTAGAGAGGACGAAGAGGTGGTGGAACACGGGGTTTAAACAGGCGCCGCACTGGTGCAAGCGGCTACGCGAGAAATGCGGAAAGGCTGATGCGAAACGGCGCGGAGGGCGGCGAGGAACCGCTTAGCGAGGAGGCAGAGGAGGAAGTGGAGAATGAGGAAGGTGACGAGGGTGACCCTGCTTTTAACCCTGAAAGAGAGGGGATGTTGGGAGCAGAAGCTGAGGAGGACGAGGAGGAGTTAGAACTTTTGCTTCGAGGAGAGGAGCTCCCCAGCCCAAATGTCCGAGGCGAACCTGCCAACCGGACCACAGCCCAGAACTGAGCCGCGGGGGGAAATCAAGCAAGGAGGGGAAATCGAGCCGCGACAGAGACTGGAGTTGACTCTGCAGCCAATGAGAATTCAGCAGCCCCAATTCCGACCCCCCCAATGCTCAAACCTGACGACCTGGCGAAATACTGACCTGTTCGCCCAGGTTGCTGACTGGGACATTGGCCCGCTGCGCGACAGTCGCCAGCCCCCACTAGCCCGCCACCCTCCAAAAGACCTTCGCGAGTCCTTCGCGATTTGCCTGCTGACACCGTTACTCCACCTGGCAGCCAACCCCGAGTCAGAACCTGGCTGGATGTTACTCACCTTCCTCCCGCGCTTACTTCTTCGCTCCTCGACAGCTCGTAAGCCTGACTGGAGCGCAATGATGAGCAGGCTCCTGCGCTTTCGCCAAGGGCTCTGGGCCGGCCTCTACGAAGAAGCTGCCGAGGCGATCTCCCTCCCCCCGCAGCCTCGCCACGCACCTGACACAACTGGAATCCTCGCCAGAGCGGAGGGCCTGGCGAAGCGTGGTAACCTCTCAAAGTCGTTGCAATCCCTGCAAGCCACGCCCGTGTCGCCTGCCTCACCTGAAGTTCTCGAGGCCCTCACGACGAGACACCCACCTGCATCCCAACCGCTACCTGATTGGCTGCACGCTGCCACAGCGGAAAACCCTCTCGCTATCGAAGCCCGCGACTTCAGAAGGATCATCGCCAAGCTCCCCAATGGAGTGGGGGCGGGCCCCTCAGGAACTACCTTCGAACATCTCCGTGATGCAGCACTAGGCAACGCCGAAGTCTTCACCCACCTCCTAGCCCTCACCAACACGGCCCTAACGGGGAAACTACCAGCCGTTGCGGGAGAGCTACTTACCGCCTCTCGCCTTTTGGCCTTCACGAAACCGCACGGTGGGACGAGGCCAATCGCGGTCGGGGAATGCCTACTACGGATCATCGCCAAAGCTACCCTTTTCCTGATCACGCCAGCCGCGAGATCCCACTTCGTCCCCCTTCAGTTCGGCGTGGCGGTAGCTGGGGGCATTGAGGCCGCTATACACACGGCACGTACTTACCTGGAGGTCCATCCCGCGGCAGTGGCGCTGCAGATCGACCTCGCGAACGCGTTCAACGCGGTCGAGAGGAGAGCGGTGTTCGAGGGGTTGAGGAACGAAGCGCTCGAGAGCCTCACCCCCCTGGTCCGCCTGTCTTACGGAGTCCCCTCCTCGCTCTTCCTCGACCATGAGTTCGCAGCGGCTCCACTGCAAAGCGCCAGGGGGGTCCGCCAAGGAGATCCCCTCGGCCCCCTTCTATTCGCCGCCAGCATCCACCCCTGCCTCGTTGCGATGGCAGCGGCACACCCGCAGGTGGTCCTACTCGCCTATGCCGACGACATCACGCTGCTCGGTGATGCGTCTGCCTGCGCCGCGGCCTTCGACCACCTCACAGCCGCGCTCGCCTCCATGGGGCTCCTCCACAACCCTGCTAAGTGCGCGGCTTGGTCCACCGCCCCAATTGACCCTGACTCCGTCCCCCCCGGCATCACCATCTCGACCGAAGGGCTGCAACTCCTCGGCAGCCCCGTCGGCACAACGCAGGGCTGCGCCGCGGCAGTCAGGGACAGACTTACGGCAGCAGCTGAACCGCTCCCGTTGCTAGCGTAAATGGACCCGCAGCTCTGCCTCCTCCTCCTCACACGCTGTGTCAGCCGCCGCGCCTCCTTCCTGGCAAGGACAACCCCGCTGGAGGTCCTGCCCACAACAGAATGGTCGGCATGGGGGGAGCGGCTGCTCCTCGCGTTCCTAGAGGCTGCGCACATTGTCGCGCCAAGGAGCAACGCGGAAAGGAGGCGTATTTGGCGGCAGGCAGCGCTCCCCGTTACCTTGGGGGGTCTGGGCATTACGGACCCGGCCGTGGAAGGGAGTTACGCGTACCTCGCGTCGGTGATCGGCGCGGCTCACCTCCTGCACTCGCTAGCCGACTCCCTACACCCCGCCATAGCCGCACTGCTCCCCCTTATGGACTCCATCCCGGACTCCGTAGCTGCCCTGCCCTCGCGCCTAGCTGCAGCCGAAGCGGCCCTGCCTCCAGACGGCCTCGAGGCCCTTCAGGCCATTAAAAGTGACCCCAAGGGACTGAAGCTCCAGCAGTCCCTGGCCCTGGCAGTCCACACCCGCCGCTACCTCCGAGTGCTGAACACGGCGCGGCGGATGTGCCCAAACCCCCTCTCAGGGCATGCCCAGCGGATGCAGTCCCTGCTGGGCCCGGGAGCAGGGGACTGGCTGCTGGCAATCCCACTCTCTTGTGCGCTGAGGCTGGGCCCCTCCCAACACTCTACTGCTTCCTCCTTCCGCCTAGGCCTCCCCCTCCCTGTCCGGAGGCGATGCGACTGCCGATACCGCACCACCTTCCCTGATGACCGCCTCCCGAATCACCTTATGCGCTGCGAGAAGGGGAAGGGGAGGACTGCCACACATCATGCTCTCAGGGATGAAATCGCAAGGATAGGGGCGGAAGCGGGCTTCACGGTTCACAAGGAGACCTATGCCTATTCTCTGGTTGAAAACCTTAAAGCGGATGTCTCCATCCGCCATCCCCTGACTGGAGAAGTGTGGTTTTGTGATGTGACCGTGACTGACCCGATGTCCTACCAGGACGAGAACTGCAACCGCGCACCTGGTTGGGCGGCTAGGGCGGCAGCTGCTCGGAAGGAGGAGAAATATGCGGGACGGAACGAGTGGGTGGGGTTCCACGCCTTAGCCGTGGAGACCTACGGCTACCCGTCGCCGGGGGTGCTGGCTTAACTTCGGCAGTGCGCGGAGCTGGCTGCGAAGCTCCGCTACAACGCGGCCCCTACCTCTCGAGAGGCTGCCAAGCTGCTGACGGAGTACCGCCAGAGCTGGAGCGTGTGCCTCCAGAGGGCGCAGGCCAACGCCCTCCGCACCAAGACCAATGAGGCCTTGGAAGCGGACGAGCTCAGCCTGCAAGGGCCGTGGGCCCCTCTCAATGAGGGGCAGCTGCACCAGCTGATTGAGCCCCCGTCCGACCACTAGGGTCGGACAGAAGGGGGGGGGAGTGGGGTAGGTGATGGTTGATAGGTCTGCTTGTTTGTCTAGTATGCATGTGTCTGCTTCAAACCTTTGTATCACCCTTCAACTAATACACGGACCATTCGAGAGAGAGAGAGAGAGAGAGAGAGAGAGAGAGAGAGAGAGAGAGAGAGAGAGAGAGAGAGAGAGAGAGAGAGAGAGAGAGCAGGATGGTATGGAGAATGTGCTGAGAGCTCCTGGCATAGCACTGCACCTTCACCGTTTTAAACGGTCGTATTATACAGTAAAATTACAAATTTTCGGTCGTAGTTTTCAATCTTGGTCAGCAGCCAGTCGGGGTGCTTGCGAGAGTGCTGTGCTGCGCTGTTACCAGCGACGGATGAGAGTCAGGGACACAAGCAGAGGACGCGAAAGAGGATATTCACCTGGGAGAGAGAGTGCAGGATGGTGTGCAGGATGGTGTGCAGGATGGTGTGCAGGATGTGCTGCGAGCTCCTGGCGTAGTACTGCTCGACCGTCAGCAGCCAGCCGGGGTCGTTGTGGGAGTGCTGTGATGTGCTGTGGGAGTGCATGTTGTGCTGCTACCAACGAGGAATGAAAGATGGAGAAATGAGCAGAGGGAGCGAGAGAGGGGAGTAACCTGGGAGAGGGAGGTGTTGACCTTGGAGAGAGAGTGCAGGATGGTGTGCAGGATGTGCTGCGAGCTCCTGGCGTAGTACTGCTCGACTGTGAGCAGCCAGCCAGGGTCGTTGTGGGAGTGCTGTGATGTGCTGTGGGAGTGCATGTTGTGCTGCTACCAACGAGGAATGAAAGATGGAGAAATGAGCAGAGGGAGCGAGAGAGGGGAGTAACCTGGGAGAGGGAGGTGTTGACCTTGGAGAGAGAGTGCAGGATGGTGTGCAGGATGTGCTGCGAGCTCCTGGCGTAGTACTGCTCGACTGTGAGCAGCCAGCCAGGGTCGTTGTGGGAGTGCGGCACCACAAACACCCTCAGCGGCTCCTCGTCCCACTCGTCCCCCCTGTATTGCAGCTTCCACCCCTGAGGGACGGGGGCGAGGGAGAATGGCGGGGGGTGTGGGAAGGGTGGGGAGGGAGTGAGGCACCAGAAACACCCACGTCCCACTCATCTCCCACCCCCAGTTCTGCAGCTTCCACCCCTGAGGGATGGGGTTGATGGGAGGGATGGGGAGGATGAGGAAGATGGGGGGGGGGGGGGGGGGGGAGGAGGAGATTCAGAAACGTAAAAATCAGCAAAAACGGTAACACACACACACACCACACACACGCACACACGCGCGCGCGCGCACACAAACAAAACAGAAACACATTGAAAGAAGATAGGAAGGAAGGAAGGAAGGAAGGAAGGAAGGAAGGAAGGAAGGAAGGAAGGAAGGAAGGAAGGAAGGAAGGAAGGAAGGAAGGAAGGAAGGAATGAAGGAAGGAAGGAAGGAAGGAAGAAGGAAAGGAAGAAAGAAAGAAGAAAGAAAGAAGAAAGAAGGAAAGAAAGAAATACATGCTAGGAGGGATTCTTTGAGCACAACCCTCACCTGGGTCCACTTCCCGCCCTTCTCATTGGCAAACGTGATGCCATCGTAAACCCGCTTCATGTTGATGTCCGTTGTTGGCTCGGCCTCTCCACCCCCCTTTGTTGCAGGGTGTTTTTGAGAATTCTCAAACCCCTCCCCATCCACCCCATCAGCATCCCAGGCCGAGTCCCCCTCCCAGTCTGCATCCTCTCCCCCCACTGTCACATCCCTGCGCCCACTGCTCTCTAGTATCAGCGCACGGAACCCTCTAGAAGCTGCCTCAATACTGTCTCCTGCAAGCGGGATCAGCGTGTAATGGGAAGAAAGGAGGGATAGGAGGATGAGGATCTAGCAGGAACCACATTCGCGTTAAGAACAGGCTTCGCTGCAGGCCATTATGGAACAGATGCCACTCACAGCACCACCTTCTCCTCATCTTTGTGATCCCAGGTGTGGAACTTCTCGATTTCTGACCTCGCCTTACCGCACCTCACCATACCTCACAACACTGCACCTCACCATACCTCACAACACTGCACCTCACCTTATCGCACCTCAGTGCACCTCACCGCACCTCGTTGCGTTGCACCACACCTCACCTTACCAAACCTCACTGCACGTCCTCAGCCTGGCTGCGAGGATTATAAATCAGCTGAGTACTGGACTGGCTGAGTGGCACCGCAGGGCTGACTCGCCTCGCCTCACCGCACCGCACTGCACCGCACTGGTAGCTATACTTCTTAAGGTTCCGTCGACGACATTGACAACATCAGCTGCTGTTCTGAGACGTCTCAAAAATCACCTGTTGTTCCTGTGATGCGAGCTCCGAGCTCCACTCTCCGCCTGGGACCACTTGCTTAGATTCAGGCATCATTGAGTCGAGTAACTTCTGAGAATTTGTCAAAGTGATTCACGTTTTCTGTTGACACGAACCGTGAAGGTGGAAGAGCAGCAGTTGACACGAACCGTGAAGGTGGAAGAGCAGTACGTTGAGAGCGGCGACTGCCAGCACGCACACGAGGCACTGCCGGGTCGTCCACGGGTAGCGACTCGTCGCCACAGCGCGGCGTCTGAGCGACGAGCCTGGGGCCGGTCCCCCCCAGACCATCGTGCAGCGAAGGAGAAACCTGCCGGATTTTTATACGCCGCAAGCAACGCCGTGGCGTTCGCGTTTGAGAGATCTCGGAAGGTTTATGGCCTCCGCGAACAGCAATGCCGAATTCGGCGCAGCAATTAGCAATGTCACGTCGCCCGCGGGTAGCGAGACACCACCGCCAGTCGCCGTGTGAGCGAGAAGCACAGGGCTGGTCCCCTGTTGCTCATGGTGCAAGGATGAATGAATAATGGGGGATGGAGCCAGGCCCCACGTTATCAGGGCAAAACATCCTGATTGCCCTGAATTCAGGATGCAGTTTTGAATTTACCCTGTCATTTCAGAATAGTGAAAATTTTAACCCTGAGGTCTCAGGATGTTTTTATATGAAATGCCCTGAACATTCAGAATGATCGTAGTGTTCTTCCTTGTAGCGTCAGGATGAATGCCGAGGCCTGCCCTGACGTGTTTAATGTCTCCGTAGCTTATCTCGCAGAATTGAAGTGGCCTAGTCAGTAGAAAAGCACTTTCGAGAGATGACGTCCCGGGGTCGAGCCCCATTGAGGATCACGAGAATCTTTAACTACTACCTGTTCAACCACCCAGTTTGAACTTTAAACTCTCTTTTTTTTGCCCTGACAGGTCAGGATTGATTTCTGAAAAAGCCCTGAACATACAGGAAGGCTTCGAAAATTTGCCCTGACAAATCAGGGCATTTTTTACGATTCTGGAAAAGTGCCCTGAGGCCTCAGGGTGCCCCAAATCCTAGCACGGGGCCTGGATGGAGCGGAGCTTGTAGGCGAGCGATACAGCATGGTATATCTCAACGCCCCGACCACATCCGGGTGCAAAAACGACGCGGCTCGGGAAAGGGATCCGCCACCCTGCGTCATCCTGTCCGGCTAACTGAGTGCACGTCCTGGGCGAGGAGCGTCACCCTGCGTCGCCCGGCAATCCCGATGAAAAATACCCCGATAGCACCTCTCAACGGACCCTCCGTACGAGGTCGACACCTCGACGACGCCGGTCGCGGTCAGCGTGCCACGACGTCCACCTAGCCATTGGCGCGGACTGCGACGTGAGGCCCACCGCGATTTCTGGCCGGCCACTGCGCTGGCGCGCAGAGCCACACGTCGCCCATCCGAAACACAACATTCCACGCGGCGAACATCGATCGGCAAACGTCTGTCCACGCGGCGATCAAGCCTTCGCCGGCCTGCTGGCGGGAACGTCCCCGCGGGATACCATCGTCGGGCGACGCCATGAGCACTGCTGCGTCACGCCGACGTGTAAGCACGGTTCACCGTGACGGGAACACCGGACGGTCGGCTGCGTAAAAGACATGAGTGCCCCGTGCAACGTCGACCATTGCGCCGCCGTGCCGTTCTGCCTTGCATGCAGAGTTGGAGACATGCCCACGGATCGCCCGCCAACACCTGTCCGCCCGAACCGCGACTGTGCCTCTCTATGCTATGACCCCCTGACGGCCAAGTGTCCATGGCATTTCGACACTTGTTTGTTGCGTTGCATTCATTTCCATTCTGGTGGGCCACATTTCCCTTGCTCATTTTCACGCTTCTCGGAGACCGACCGACCACGCGCGGTGCAGGGTCGACGACGAGCCACGCCGGTGTAGAGTGCGTTTAGGTCGGCAAACTTTACGGGCTTCCGACTTAGGATCATTCCGACTAGGACGACTGACTAGGTCGACAACAACCGAAAGTCGCCGACCTCTTTCTTCAAACCCACAACCAGTATTGTCATCGCCGGTGATCCCCCGTGCGGCCTCCAATGGTCAGGGACCAGTCTAACAACATCCCGCCGCACAACACCCCGCCGAACGATACATTGCCACTTCACACCCCGCCGACCATTGTGCCGCCGACCACGGCCACTCCGAACATCACCCAGCAGAACACCAATCCGCCGCCCTTACTTCCCGAAATTCCCGAACTGACCGACATTGCCGCGGAGTTGACGATCGCCGAGAACGTTGAGAGGGCCGAAAGACGGGCGGCCTTTAGGGCCACGGTGCGAAGGCAATACACGGCAGCGATTGTGCAGTATCGACTTTGGTGGGCTGAGCACGTACCGCAGCGAGATCGCGGCGACAACTAGAGGCCGACGGGAACAACTCTACCCGCCGAGATGGCTGGCGTCGCTCCGCCGGCGCGGAGCAGCGCGATTCCCGACCTGAACGAGCCTTTCATGGAGGAAGATGTAGACGCCGCTAGGGCAAATATTCCCGCCGACATGGTGGTCGACGTAGACGCCGCTAGGGCAAAAATTCCCGCCGACCCGACCATCCCCCTACCGCCAGGGACGAAAGGGGCTCCCGAACCCGGGCCGGACCGGTACTCGCCGCGTTCGGACACGGAGCAGCCGCCGCCAATTGGACCATTTCCAGAAAACGACTACATGTATCTGACCGTAGAGGACTTGTTGGCAGCCGACGAGAAAGATGACGCCTTCCTGCATAACATTCCTCGCGACGATTTTGCGGAAGCCGCCTTCGACATCAACAAAGAGCTCGCCAAGAAGAACAGATTGCTGAGGATGATGTGGGCTTTCCGGCATCTGGACACGCTGGAGGCGAGAACGACCCGGGTTCAGTACCTGCGGGCGCTGCTCGACTTCAGGAGATGGTGCTGCGCGAACCTTCCAAGACAGCCAACCGCCAGAGTCAAGGGGGACGGCGTGCTGGAACACGAGGACGAGATAGGGAGGTACATCGACGAAGACATGGGTGATCAGTGGCACACCGCCAAGGGCGACCTACAATGGATGCACGGTCCCTGCGTCAACGCCACGCGGATCAGGGCGTACATTCTGTCAATCGCAAGGGAGTATGGTATTGCAAAGGCCGAGGAGCTCGAGGAGCTGAATCCCGACGTCCGTGTCCAGCCCCTGAAGCCGACATCGGTTTCGATGCTGCTCATCCGTATCAAAGCGCTCCAGACAGCCTGCAAGGTCGAGGGGACGCTCTTTGGGGTGAAGGAGCTCCACATCATGTACGACATCTCCGAGGTCCGCTCGGAGGTGCGCGCGATGGTCAGAGAGAAGTGGCACAGGGACGACAGGTAAGTCGGCAAGTCGTCCCGCGCCTGTTTCCCGGTTCGCCCAGCTAACCCAGTCCTCGTGGAAACTGATGTGCAGGGATTGCGTCGACCGGCACCGCGGAACGCTCGGCGACACGTACACCACCGACCAGATCCGCCACCTCATGTTCAAGGTCTTGCCGACCTGGGCAGCTCGGGCGTACGAACCCAAAGCGGCCACCCCCTCCCAGACACTGTGGAAGTTTCTGCTGATGAAGACGATGACCCTCTTGGGTCACCACACCCTTCTCCGCGGAGCCAGTCTCCGAGCGATCGAGCTCCCCGACCTGTTTTTGTACAGAATGGGGAGCGCGTCGCCCGAGCACTCCACTCGACGGCCGGTTGTCATGGTTGTCGCGTCACGAAACTCCAAGACGAACAAGGATGCTCGTCTGCATCACAGCTACGCGGCGAGACACCTGGACCAAGAGATGTGCGCCGTCGGTCACACACTGTTGTGGCTGCACTTCGTGTACGACCAGCTCAGCCGATCGCCCACTTCTCGATGTGTGCCGCCCCTCGACTTCACGACTCCGTACAGCTGGTATCACAAGCACCTCTTTCATGCTCGGAACGACAAGGAACAAAAAGAGCTGCCGGCGTCATCTCATTCTCGGATCACGAAAGAGATGTGGCGGACGAACAACATCTTCATCACGCGCAACACCCACGCCGCCCGGGCGGGTGGGGCATAGGAGCTGGCCGACGACGGCGTTCCGCGATCTGACATCGCCGACTTGGGCCACTGGGCGCTCGACAAGCTCGCGAAGAGCTACATCACGACCATCCCGAAGGCGGCGGTGTTGAGAAAGGCCGGCTACACGGGCAAGCGCGGCGACTACCACCTCGGCCGGAGCATGGTGAAGCCCGACGACAAGGTGGTGGCCCTCATCGCCCAGCACATCTTTCCGTGGGCTGAAGCGGAACTGGCCAAGGTGAGCATTTCGGACGGCAATAACGCCGACAACCCGCCGACCATTTCCACGACGACATTATACCGACGGCTGATTGTGTTTGTGTTTGTGTTCGACTCGCAGGCGGTAAAATGCGCATCCGCGAGAGAGCCCAACACGGCCGGGGTGCACTTCCTGCAATCGCTCATCGAGTTCGGCCGCCGAATCGTCGCCGAGGATCTTGCGTGCATGCTGATGCGGGAACCGTGGCACCCGTACGTCCAGAGTTCCAAGCTCTGCCGCGACCCCGACTTCCAAAAATGGGCCAAGGACGTCAACCGGGTGGACCTCGAAACCATCGCGACGCGCAGTACTCCGAGCGAGAACCCCCAAGAGGTACGGCGTGCGCGTTCCGGCGACCTGCAAAACAAGTCGTCCTGCAACATTGGCTCACCTTTTGCCGACCATCCCCCTTGGATCGCAGGAATTCAGCGCGCGAATCGACGCCGAATATCAGGTCGACCAGCTCACCATGATGCTGCACCGCCAGAGGGAGGATGCCGCGATCGAGAAGCTTGAGATGCAGAAGAAGTTGGAGGAGAAGGACGCGGAGATCGCGAAGTTGATGCAGGCTCTCAAGCTGGCCGAGGCACGGCCGACGCCGTCTGCGCCCGCACCGTCAAGGCCGATGACGGCCGCCGAGAAGGCAGCGTCCGTCAAGATCGAGAAGGAACAGGAGGATGACCTGACGTACGAGGTCAACGTCGTGCATCCCTGGCGCACATCCAAGACGGTCGAGGTTGCATGGCGCTGGTGGAACAACCCGTCCAACTTCGACTCGCGTCCGTTGCGCGAACGTTTCGACGAGCACAGATTCCTCGTCAGACACACGCGCATGATCTGCAAGGTCGAAAAGGGCGACAAACCCGCCGCGTCGGCGAAGTCGGCGAAGAGCTCTAGTCCCACGACCGAGGTGGGTGAGACGGGGAAAAACGATGCGCTGCAGCACTGCACTCGCCGGATGAGGCGGATCATGGAAGCGGTGCACGACTTGCGGCGGAGCGACGACGCCGCTGACACCGCCGCCGTCATCAAGCTACTCGACCACCTGGGGCGAGCGGGGCTTTCCACTTTCAGCGACGCGCTCTTGGTCCTCCGTGCAACCCCGCCCATCAAGGTCCCCACCACAGCCGACGGAAAGTCGGTCGGCATCAAGGGTCTGGACAAGCCGCTGGCGAGGAAGCTCGCCGTTGCGTGGGGCGTGGTCACGGCGGGCTACATGGACGCTGACTGGGGAAAGAGGCTCTTCGGCGACTTGTGGGATGAGCAGGCCAATAAGGCCGGCTTGGAGGCCGAGGCGACGGTGGGAGCCATCGGCGCAGGGAAGCGCAAGAGGGCGGGCTGAGGGTACTGCGTCTGGGTCCGACTTGTGCTGCTGGCTGAGCGTGGTGTGACTGAGGCCGGGCTGAGGGCGGGCTGAGGGTGGGCTGGGGATGTGCTGAGCGTGTCCGAGCTGTTCTAGTGACTCTATATGGTTTTCTTTTACTGGCAACTTTGTTTCGACTTGTAAATTAGTTGAAGTTTGTCCGTTGTTCATGCATCAAACCGACTCCACACCACAAAACCTACGTCACAACGTTTCTGAAAAACTACCGACGAACAAGTTCAGCATCACTAAGCCGGAGAGGCACAACAAAACAACAAAACAGCGGTCAACAAGCCTGCAGCGTTTGCACCCACGCCGACCATGCTACGAGCAGGCGGGCCAGCCTTCGTCGACCTAGGCGTCGGCGACCTGCTTCCCTTTGTGCTGCTGCCCCCTCGCCCCCCTGTCCCGAATGATAACCTTCATCTGGGGGTCGATAGGCAAATCGACGCCGCGAGCCTTGAGCTTCGGGCCTCCGACATTGCAGTCCCCCCAGAAGGCGAGGTTCTCTATCATGACACGGGCGATCAGCTCGTCGTGCTCGCGCTCCTCTCCGACCTCAGGCAGCGACCTCAGCACAGCCGCCTGCAGGTCCTTCGTCACCGTTTCGGCGACCTCCCCTACGACGACCTCCCGGGAGGCCGCCCGCTTAAGCACCGCCTCGATGACGGTCCGACACCGACTCGCGAACTCGTTGGACGCTCCGCGCACGGTCGCTGCCGCCCCCCCTTCGCCGGCCGCTACTTCCGCCGTGGCATTGGTCTCCGAAAAACACCACACCGCGGCCGCAGTACCGGCGAGGATCTCGGACAACCGCTCCGACCCGACGCCCGGAATGGGCAACACTTTCGCGGCCACCGGTGCGAAGGCGGCACACATCGAAACGCGTGCGATCATGTCGCTCGCCACCTTCTTCTTCGCGGCCTTCTCGGGCTCGGTCGACTCCGGAAGGTCGCCGAACCACACCGCCGGGCGAAGAGCCAACATGAGAGCTGCGCGGTCGGCTCCAGTTATCCTGTTGTATTCCGCGACCACCTGTTGGAACCTGCGAAACACAGCAGGAATACCCACCGTCACCGACCGGCCCACGCGTACCGACCGAAACGAGCACCAAATTGAGCATTCGCCAAGCTTACCTGTCGCGGAAGACGTTCGCCCCTCGGCTCCACATGACCATCCACATGCCCCCCGGAATCAATCGCGCCACATTCCAGTCCGCCTTATACTGCGCCATCACTTCCTCCTTGACCCCACCGAACTCGTCGAGAACCACGTCGCTGACGAAGCCGTCGAACGACGAAACGGCGACAGCGATGCAGTAGGCGGCCTCGGACTTGTCCATCGACCGGCAGATGGAACGGCTCTTTTTCCCTAACTTCATCTCCGAGACGGCCAGCCCAGTTGAAGGGTCAACGCGGACGCCTGAACCCTTCCGACCCTGCGCGGCCGCTTTGGACGTCCCCTTGGAAGAGCCGACCTTCGGCGGGCCGCCCTTCGCCTTGTCCTTGCCCTTGCGCCTCTGCTTCCCATCGCCGACCTCACCGGTTGTGGCCGGGGGAGATTTGGCGCCAGCCGCGCTATGGTCCTCCGCAGGAGCAGTCGAGGCGGCTGGTGCACCCTGTTGCGCTCCCACGGTGGGAGCTGCTGCTTGTAGTTTCTCCCGCATGACCTCGATTTCCGGGTCCGGCATCACGATGCTGGCGAGGATCTCTTCGTCCACCCCGCCGGCCTCTTCCGCCGCTCTCCACACAGCCGCCTCCACCGTTGACCCACTCGGCCCTGCAGTCGCCGCCGCGACGTTCGCTGCCTCTGCTCCTTGGTCGACCACCTGGTTGCTGTGAGTCGGAGGAATTACCGGGGTTTTGTGACCCTGATCCTCGAGCCATTTCAGATACTCGTCGTAAGATGGCTTTTGAGTGATTAGGGCCTCGACCGCCCGAGACTCAACAGCCGTTGGGATCGGGATGGGTTCCGCGGCGACCATGGCCCCATGAACGGGTAAGCTGGCCGCACCGGCAGCCTGCTGGACATGCTGTCCGACCACCGCTGCTGGGCGCAACAGCTCGTCGACCAGCGCCGTGACACCACCCGGTTGCGCGTCACGTGCAGTGGCAGGACTCGTCGCGGTGTGCGGATGCTGGCCCGCCGCGGCCTGCTGGACATGCTGTCCGACCACGGATGCTGGGCGCAAGAGCTCGTCGACCAGCGCCGTGGCGCCAGCCGAACGCGCGTCCCGTGCAGTCGCCGGACTCGTCGCGGTGGGGGTATGCTGGCCCGTACCTGGCGGCCCGCCCTGCTGTCCGACCACCGCTGCTGGGCGCAAGAGCTCGTCGACCAGCGCCGTGACGCCAGCCGGACGCGCGTCTTGTGCGGTCGGCGTGCTCGTCGACGGGTGAAGATGCTGGCCCGCACCGGCCGGCCCGCCCTGCTGTCCGACCACCGCTGCGGGGCGCAGGAGGTCGTCGGGCAGCTGCGCTGTGACGCCGGTCGGTCGCGCAGTCGGCGTACTCGTCGAGGGTTGAACATGCTGGACCGCAACGGGCTCCCTGCGCGCCTGGCCGACCACCGCTGCGACGTGCATGTCGTCTGCCGTCTGGGCCGTGCCACCGCTCGGTCGAGCGCCTTGTGCAGTCGCCGGACCCATGAGCTCGTCGGCCAGACTCACCTGCTCGCAGCTCGGTGGCGCGTCGTGTGCGCTCGGCGGATCGGTCGGGGCCTGTGGCTGCTTGTCCCCCACGGGCTGCCCACCGGTCTTCCCGACCACCGACTGAGGATCCTCGAGCGCGACGTCGACCTGTCGAAAATGTTCGCTCGGTCGCGCGCCAAGTCCATCTTTCAGCAAGTCGTGGACGCCGGGGATACGAACATACGGAGGGGCAGGAGGATCCACGCCCACACCGCGTTTCACCGCAGGTCCTCTGCTTCGCTTAGAGCCGCTGGTCTGGTCGCCGGTCAGGGATTTTTCGTCGGCGACCCTTTTCCCCGACTGCCTTGGGGCCGGCCCACTCTCCTCGGCGGTTGCGCGACCGCCGTGCATCACCGACGCGAAAGCAGTTGGGAGGAGGCTAAACCCGGCGGTGCCAATGCCCTGTTGGGTCGCGGAGGTGACCGCCTTCACCAGGTCGTCCCTAAGCTCTTGGACGACCTTCGCAGTCACGGCAGCGGCGATCCGCTGCGCCTCGCCCTCCATGGCGGCCTTCACCTCGGCAGACACGACTGTTTTGATGTTCTGGCCGAGAGAATCTGCCACACCTCGAAGCAGCAGGAGGTCGTCCTCCCGTCGCCTACCCTGTGCAGCAGTAGCCGTCAAGTGCAGGGCCTGCACGGTGGGCAGCCACTGCGTGTTCATGAATTCGAGGGTGGAGCCGCGATAGCTCACCGCCTCCTGCACGACCGCCCTCACACCGTCCACCGCCGTTTGGATGCTCCTCCCCGACGTCTGCTCGAGATGGGTCACGCCCTCGGCGACTGTAGTGAGCTTGTTCACGGCCGAGGTGACCACGCCGTAAATCGTGTCATTCCGGGCCGTTTGGAACTCCAGCCTCTTTTCCGCCACCAGCTTCTCCTCCCTCAGCTTCTTGATCTCCCTCTCCGCCGCCTTCAGACGCTCGATAGCCGCCTTTGACGCCATCCTAGGCGGGGTCGAGCCACTGCTGCCCCGGGCCTTCTTGCCCAACTTGGGTCCGCTGCCGCCGCCCATATCCGCAACCTTCTCACCGGCGAACTGCACTGCCTCCTCTTCGCCGGTGACAACCACGTCGTCCTCCTCACGCTCCACGTCCTCCTCCTCTTCTTCCGAGCCACCGTCGTGCTCCCCGCCCCCCTCAACGTCCTCCCTCTCGTGCTCCTCCTCCCCACCCATAGCGATGCCGGTTTCGACGCCACGGGCCACGGTCGACGCCGCCTCCCCTCTGTTCGACGCGGCCTTCTCCGCGTGGTGCAGCAGCTCCAGTCGGAGCGCCTTCAAGCCGACCATCTTCGGGTTCTCGACGATGAGCGGATCGTAGCTGCGAAACACGTCGTCGAGATGCTCCAAAGACCACGCGAACGCGTTGACCGCCAACAGCCCCGAGCCGGCGACCTCCTCCTTGAGGATGTCGGGCAATTTCTGCATCAACATCCGAAGCACATGGCGACGACGAAAAGGGTGAGTCGACGCCTCGACGACGATAGCCCAGGCGACAAGGCGACATGGACGTTGGAAACTCACATCACGGATGGGGGCGGCAAGACTCTCCAGACGTTCGGAGAGGATTTCGGCGGAAGGAGGCGCAGCCGTCCACTGCCTTCCCTCACGGTTCAACTCCGCCTTCGCGCACTCGGCGAAAAACCTGCGCTACGAGAAGGGAAAGAGCCATCAGACAAGGCGGCATGAACGCCGTTAAAGAGCGGCGCGGCTAGCCGTCGACGTTGTCCCACCTCATAACGTTGGCCGCCTCCTCCTCGTGCCGCTTGGAGGAGGTCTTGGGGTCGAGGTGGCGGTAGAACGTCCCGATCTCCTCCTCGTCGGGCAAAAGCAGGTCGCCAGGGCGCACAACAAGCAGGACGCTGCAGTGCCTGCTGGGAAGAGGTCCGCCCCTGCCCACACAAGCACGACGGAGACATTCAGGGTTCTGTCCAGGAACAACAAGCAACTCGGTCGGCGTGGATCAAACCTCGCGGGCGCGGAACACTCACCCGGTGCACAGGGGGATGGCGAGGGCTTCGAAGCCGAAGGCCGACCCGAAAACCAGATAGTCCGCCTTCGACGCCGTCCTGGCGGCGCGAAGACTCGCACCGCGGATCAGGATCATGCTGTCGCCTTTTCCCAGACGATCGAGCTCGTACCTGGGACAAGCGGGGGCGAAAAGGCGGGAGCGAAACACTTGCGCGGTGAGCTACAATCCATGCCGGACGAAGGTAAAGCACGACGGCGATGTCGCCGGAAGCATGACGGACGTCACCGACGTAGGGCCAATGGTCGACTAGTTGATAAGACG